CTGATAATAAGGGTTTTTAAAGGTCCACACTCAATCGTGATCGCAACAATACAACTCGAATTATAATTTTGTAATGATAAAATATCCAGACAGCCATTAAGGATAACGATACACGATAAAAATGGTTCACTATTGTATGCAATAGTTCTAAAATGACCAATGTTGGGAATAACAAATTTATTATTTATTTTTGAAAAGACGCAATAGGGTTCCTGTACTAAAACAATATCAAAATCAGCAATAAATGGAGAGTTAAAGAAAGAAAAAGATGCGTTTTTGGAATGATGTAAATTAATTTGGCAGAAACGTAATTTATTTAAACGTTTATTACTCATAATCAGTATTTTCAATAAGCATTTTGATTTTTCTTGTATGAGCAATACATTTATCAGAACCTGGGATATGTTTCAGGTCACAATTAATATTTTTGTACAAAGAACAACAAGCACATTTTAGGAAAGCGATATTATTGGCATTGGGACAGTCCCTTTTATCATGATCTTCAGAACAATGAGCACATCTAGACGTAGTAGATAAACATTTTGAGGATGTGTGACCAAATTTAAAACATTTATAACAGATAGTAACTCTGATACGGTCTTCAAGTCTACAATTAGACCATCCAATACCGATGTATTTAAGATCGAGTAAATCTTTCCTTAATATAGGTGAAACTTCGATTGCCCAATGGACAAATGGTTTATTTCTAGCTCCAAATTTATGAATAGCTTTGATATCATTATTGTTGTATTTAGAAGATAGGCCATTTTGATTTAAAATAGTAGAAATTAAATCATTATCATTTAAGTTAGTGGGAACATTAAAAATAGATAATCTAGGACGATTTTTTGTAGGAATAGAGACTTTTAAATTTAAATTAGATAGTTCAGAATTATTTAATAATTTATCAATATTTTTATTGTGAGACTCAATAATAACATTTTTGTTCTTAGAGAAGAAAATCTTTGATGGTACAAAACCAATTTTAGCTGGGTCAATATTCTTTAGAACACTGCTCTTAACTTCATTAGCCGATGGAAATTTACTTTCATCAATAGGAGAAATTTCAATTTTATGAATAATATTGGAATTAACAGTTTTCTTATTATTAACTTTAATTTTAGTATTTTTAACAATTTCAGAAAATGAAGGAGTAGAAATAGGAATTGGTAATTTAATATTTTCAACAGAAGATTTAATCAATTTCAAATTATCATTAAGAGAAGAGGATGCAAGCATAATTTCTTTAGCCAATTTAAATTCAGATGACAATTCTAATAATAAAGATTCAAATCTTTTTAAAGCCTTTTCTTTATTATCCCTTTTAAAAGTAGAAGATTCAAATAAATTTAAGCCATCTTGAATTATAGATTCAATGTTTAAAATATGTAAATTATTTTTTGATTTTAAAAATTCAGAAATGTAGTTAGATCCATCATTAGAAAATTTAAAATCTTCAATAGAACAAGGATTCTCAATTAAGTTTGATATAATATCGTCATTTTGTGATAAATCAAAATTAGACATTTTTTTAAAATAAAAAAAAATAAATGTAAAAAAATAAAAATAAAAATGTAAATATTTAAAAATAAAAAGGGCAAATGTAGATTAATATATAAAATAAATAATTAAAATAAATTAATTAAATAAAAATGAAATGATCTGTCCTTAAAAAGGACAGAGTAATGGACCGAGGCAAAAAATATAATTAGAAGTTAAAAATATATATGGTTGGTATTGAACAATCGATGTATAATTTAAGGATATAATTTCAAAAATATTTAGGTAAAAGTCTGTCAAAGAAACAGCTGTTAGTAAAAGTAAGGTTATAGTTAAATGTCAATGTCTAAATATTCCAAAATTAAGTTAAATACTCTCACCAACAGTAGTGTAGCTTCTTTAGCAGTTGCTTTATTGGCAGTATTTTTTCTTTTGGTCAAAATCTATATATTTATCAATATTTTTGCAATAATTTGTAGAGCTATTTTTGACACGTCTATCAAAGTCAATACCAACCATACTTAGTTAGACGGTATACCGTTTACAAATGTCACAAACAGACGGTTTATTCACGGTGAATTCACAGTGAATTCACGGTGAATAAACCGTGAACTCAGGCCGCAAGGGCTCTGTAGAGTGGCAAAACCGTATATTGTTCAAAATTAAGTTTTAATTATTAAGTCACATCTATTTTTATCAGTTTTGTTTTTGGTTCACCTTGATATATTTATTTTTGTGGAAAATATGAATTAAAAAAAAAAACATTGCAATTTCCAATATATTTTCTGTACGAAGAACTAAGGTTGCTATGGTCCATCCATAGGCTATGGAGGATGACAGTGACAGTTTTGTTGAATCATCCCATACTTGGACATGTTATATAGGTACGGCTTTCAAAAGTTCCCAAATTGTGTTTTGTAAATAATTTTTTTTTTTTTTAATTATTAATGTGTTAATTTTGTGGTGTCTTCTTACTTTAAAAATGGATATGTCTCCGACTGATGTTGCCCTTTGTACTTTACTTCTTGTGACGTTTAAAACACTTTCCACATAATACTGTGACCGTCCATCCTGAATTAAATCAATGCTCTGGCAACATCAGTCGGAGACATATCCATTTTTAAAAGTAAGTAGACACCTCAAAAGTAAAACATAAATTTGCAAAAACAATTTGATAGCTTTTGGAAGCCATATATGACAAGTATGGGATGATTCAACAAAACTGTCACTGTCATCCTCCATAGCCTATGGATGGACCATAGCAACCTTAGTTCCTCGTACAGAAAAAATATTGGAAATTGCAATGTTTTTTTAAAATTCCATATTTAGTTAACTATACTGGTGCTTACGGTAAAAGCTTTTTGAAGGTCAAACAAAACGGTAAATAAAGCAAACAAAGTATCTAAACAGAGGGCGCGGTAAGCAAGACAGTCAGTAAAAAAAAAAAATTAAGTGAGACGGAAGAAGACATCGATTGTCGATTTATTGCATGTTAATTGTGTTAAATTTAAGGAATCAATTGATAAATAGTTGTTGAATCAAATTACATATACATAAATTTCAATACAACTTATTTTATCTTTATTTTTGGTTATTGAATTGCTTATATCTTTTAAACAAAGCACTTTAGTGATATGAACGTGAGAATCTTTTTTGTCAAAAATTACATTTTCTACAACTTCTTCATTTGAATTTTTTCGGTAAAACCAGTCATTCGCTCGATTTTCTCAAAAATATGTGAGAAAAAGTGAAAAAACAACTTTTGGAGATACTACAATCAACGTAAATAAATCAAAAAAAAATTGATGCAGGGCCTTTTAAAAACCGTGAATACTAGGCAGGAAATTATGGTGATAAAAATTATAATTCAAAACCCGGCCAAAATATAGAAATTTAAAGTAAATATGATTAAAAATACATGCTTTTTATATGGAAAAACTACAAAATTAAAAAGGAAGTACTTAGAATCAAAATTAAGGGCTCAAGTATTCAGGGAATTTTTTTTTCAACCTAAAAAACAAAATTTTCATGTGTCAGGAAGAAAAAAAAAATTTCGTTTTAAATGAAACACCCTAATAAGTACACTACTATCACTAGGATTTTAACACAGAAATCGACTAAAAAAATACTAATAAATGGCGTCCAAAGACTTGTTTGTGTTGGTTTTTCTTTATGATGGCGTCTCAACCTCGTTGGTTTTGCGCAGCTACACGAGAGCCCTCTTGCGATATTTGTATTGTATTGGGAATAACCAATTAGCAAATTTTTCGAATCTTACACTGGGAATGCCCAATTGAATTCAATTGGAAATTACCTATAGGCCTATAGGTAGCTTTATCCAATCGAAACCGTAGAATATTAATTGGATTTTTCCATATTTTAAAGTATTGGGCATAACCAATTAGCAGATTCCTTTTTCGAATCTTACACTAGAAATGCCCAATTGAATTTAATTGGAAATTACCCATGGGTAGCTTTATCCAATCGAAACCAATAAAAAACATTAGAATCCTAATTGGGCTTTTCTATCATGGAAAATACCAGTAAAAACCAATTTATGTTTTATATCGCGCCCAATTAAATCCAATCAATCCAAGTCCAATTCAGACCCATTGATACCAACCAATTCTTCAATTGGTTTCTACAGGAATTAATCGGTCATTTATAACAGGGATAAGCTGTCCTACCACTTAACCCTGGACAAACACAAATAAACAGCCATACCCATGTGGGATTCGAACCCACGACCAAAGATAATATCTTTGCCCACGACCACTCGACTTGTAGTCCGCAGCACTGACTACTACACCACCGAGGGCCGTAATAGGTTTTCAATAAATATTTTTTATAGAAAATACAATTCTTCTAGGGTTGCTAGAAATCAGAATGACGTAAATGAAAGAATTAACTAGAAAATACAGAAGTATAACAAAATAAGATTTAAACAAATCATGTATTGCATTAGGTACAATTGCTAATTTATTAAAAATAAATACATTCTAAACATATTTTGTTAAATTTAAATAAAATCTAAAGTCTAAAATAGTGATTTTATTAAACATTATATTATAAACCCAACTCAATAAATACAATAATATAAACTGAACATTGCAACTAGTTATAATTTTTTATATTCTAAAACGCTGAAATATAGAAGATTTTGGGAGCATAGACTAGATAAAAGATTTTCGTTAAATATGGAAGACTTCTATTATTATTGTAAATATAGAAGGCCTAGGCCAGCTGGCAACCCCAAATTCTTCTAACATTTTTTAATTAAAATGCGTTCAAAGAAACGTTTATCTACTGTTTGTTTACATATACATCGGTATGAACTCAGTAAACAAAGCATTGAATTATTTTATAAAATTAAAATAAAATAACCAATAAGATGATAAATATTTATAGAGATTGTATAATCTATGTTGTTAATAATACATTGTTATCACAATATTGTCTTCAACAATAATTTATTTAAATAATTTTCAAAATAAATAACTATCAGTGTTTAAAAATACTTCGCGCAATAAAGAACAGATATGATTTTATTTTTTATAACTTCATTTTTATTAATTGGTAAGAAAATAATATTATTATTATTAATATTCTAAGTAGCAAAATATAAAATTTAAATGTTTTAGTTGTAAGCAGTGAAAATAATGCCCCAATTGTACAAACGCCATTGGGTCTTATAGAAGGTAACATTGAAAAATCAAGTAATGGTAGGAACTTTTATTCATTTAGAGGTATACCATTTGCTAAACCACCTGTAGGAAAATATAGATTTGAGGTAATTAAATAATTCTATTATTTTTTCCGTTGTAGGTATAGTAATAGTGTTTTCGCGGTGCTAATCCCGAACTAGTTTGGACAACCTAGGCATGCGCATTTTAATATTTATCATGCGCACTTTACAATTTAAACGCCAAATTTTAAAAAGCGCATGCCTAGGGTGTTCGGAATAAGCTCCGCGAAAATAGCTAATAGTATTCGAAACTTTCGAATCGAAAGGTTGTTAACTAATTCAAGGTCACTGATTTTGATTCGACCTTTAGTTTTTTTGTAGCAGCTCGAGTTTTTCAGGTGCATCTTCTGCCTGAAGTCATATTGAGTCTGTTTACATTAACTATATCTATTACATATGAGTTTTAGATTAATCTTTGTATTTTCCATCATTTTCCATCATGTGTTCGTCAAGCAGGGTCTGAATTAATGTTAACGATCCAAATTGTTTTTGTAATATCTGTCATGAATATCGCGAAACGCGTTTCGAGTGTATCAGATTTGGTGAAACGAGCGTATTTTGAATGTTTTGGGTTTCCATTGGAATTCCATATCAAGTACTGGGTGGTGTTGGGTACTTTTCTGAAAATCTCGGTGACATGAGTGAACAATTCTACAAAATTATTCGGAAAATTCCAGAGTGTATAGTTTGTTTTAAATATTTTTGTACAGTGAAAATTCAGAAACTAGAGGTAATACAAAAAAACTGATAACATATTTGAAATCAGCGTCAGAAATTAGCTCAGAATCATATGAAATATCCCATGCAACAGACATGCGGTCTAATTATTATTATACCTTAAAAAATATTTGTTTATGGCAAAAATAAGGCTTAGAAGTGTTTTTGTGCTGAGCTCAAAACCGACGCATGAGCGGATGTCTACAATTGAGCGAAGCACAAAAAGACACGTCCAGCCGAATCGCATACAACATTTTATCCTCAAGGCATAGTTTTATTTGTTAAACGATAAATAAAACGAACTAACAATTATAATAACAATTATAAAAAGTATAAAGTGAGGTTAGATAGCTTTAAATGTGTCAACAGCTATCGAATTTTTGGATTGGTCCTAGCGGGTTTTTTACAGACTAGGATGTAAAAAACAATAAAAAAGCTTAAATTATAGAACGCTTTAAAATAAAATTTATTTAAAAAAAAATAGTCGTGAATGTCCTAAAATCTCTAGATTAGTTGGCTCAAAATATAATATATCTCAGTCTTGGTTAGGATTTTCCTTTAATATTCTCTATTATCTATTTTATTATTTATTTTACGCAAATTTTGGTTATTATACAATTTGTTTCTGATATAAATCTGTATAAAAATGATTTCATACAAAATTTACGTATACGTATACTATAGGAGTTTTACGTTTACGTAAATTTTGTATGGGGTCATATAATAGGACTATTAGTTCTCGAGATATGAGGCTGAGAAAAGTTGAAGCAATGTGCATACTCTCCTATTACACCGCGTATAAAAGTGTTTTATGTCTGATTATAGCCATCGGTACCTAATAAACCATGGTCGGGAATATGGAAAGCAAACAATTCTTATGTTTGTCTTCAATATAACCATTTTAATTGTCCTGGTAGAGACAAGGTAGAGGGCGAGGAGGACTGTCTTTACCTAAACGTATTTACTCCAATATTGAAGAAAAACGCAAATCTAGACGTTGTCGTTTATATTCATGGAGGTGCTTTTATGTTTAACTCTGGAAATGTACAGGGGCCTAAAAAATTAATGGACAAAGATGTTGTACAAGTAAATATCAATTATAGATTGGGGCCGTTTGGTAAATTAATACGTTAAAAATTAAAATAAAATTTAATAATTATAATTAAACATTAGGGTTTCTTAGCACGGAAGATGATTTAGTACCTGGAAATAACGGTATCAAAGATCAAATTTTAGCCATGAAATGGGTTAAAGATAACATTGAATTATTTGGTGGAAATTCTGATTCAATAACTATATTTGGTATGTCTGCTGGTGGGGCTAGTGTAGAATTACATTATTTAATCCCAGAAAGTAAAGGTAAGTCTAAGGAGTATTTAAATATAATAAAATAATATTATAATATTATATATATATGTATGTATATTATATTACTTATTAAAGGGATACATATCAATATTTAAAAGAAATGTTATGAGTGAATCTAATTTTGAATTTTAACTTTTAATTTACCAATTTATAATTATAATCAATTATGTTGCCAAACGCATGCGTATTGTTAAAGTAAAAATCCAAAAATGCATTTTTTCATAAGATGAAACATAAATTCCTTATGATGAATCTATATAATAAAACTTTAAAGCATATAGTTAAGGTAAAGTATAATTTTTAAGTTTAAAAACTTTATGATCAAGCTCTCATATCGTTTAAATAAAGAAGGAAGAATTTTTTTAACAATTTTCTGGGATTCATAAGGGTCTGTAGATCATCCACCTTTAAGGTACATTTACAGGGTGTCCCAAAAATAGTGTGCAATAATCTACAAGCAGTTTTTAGAGACAAAAATAGGAAGAAAACTATATGAACATAGGTCGGCAAATGGTCCATAAAGGACATACAGAGCCTCTTAAGGGGCGCCCCTAACCATGTTTTATTATTATTTATTAAACGGTTTGAGATAACTGTATTTTCGGGAAATATATCTATTTTTTTTATTTATATATATTTATTAAAATGAAAAAGGAAAAAGGCAATTTTTTTAAATTGTTTGTTATTTTTATTCGAAAATGTTCAACAATACCTTTTTTTACGTAGAAAACTCTAAATTTTCATATTCAGCAGCCAAATTTGGGGCTAAAAATACCCTAGGCCGCCCCTGTTTAATACAGTCGTAAATATTTTTTTTTATTCAGCATAAAAAGTTAAGTAAGCACAAAGTTTTATTATTTTATCTCAAACCGCTTCGGAAATAATAAAAAAACATTTTTAGAGGCGCCCCTCTAAGAGGCTGCAGCTCCCTTAGGGGCCATTTGCCGACCTATGTTTACAAGAAGATTTCTTCCTATTTTTGTCTTTAGAGTATTGCACACTATTTTTAGGACACCCTGTATCATTTAACCCTGTCTAAAGGACATTTTAGTGACATACGCTTATGAATACATGACAATAAATAAATCAAAAGTATTGTCATAATCTTTTATTTTCTGAATTAATGAGTGACTTTTTACTTTTGTATCTTATTATATTATAAATTATTTTTTAACAGTCTAAATAGCCACTGTTGTTAACTTCAGCCCGTCAATAAAACGCCATAAAGTCACAGCTCGTCAATGTAGGAGTAGATAAACAATTTTAAATTGTTGTTGAATGTTAATACTTTTAACATTAAATCATTTAAAATATCCTACAAAATTATCTTGCGTAACATGTTTATTAACGAACTTAAAAAAATTGTTTAGGCTAGAGCCTAAAAAAAATTTAAATTATTTATTATTTTAAATTATTTGTTTACAGTCCAAAGTACAGGTAAAATTCAAAAAAAGAAACAATTTTTTTTATTTATCTCAAACTTTGACCTCCAATATTATGTAATAAATATATGTATTGTTTTTATCTAAAGAAAAATTATAAGACAAACATGTTTTTTATAAAAAAAATTGACGCGCTCCAAAGAAAGAAATCTGTGTCCAAAAATAGATTTCTGGATTATGAAGGTTATAGGTTAATTACAGACTGCTCTTTAATTATCTGAAGCAAAGAAAGCAATCTGTGTCCAAAAATAGATTTCTGGATTATGAAGGTTATAGGTTAATTACAGACTGCTCTTTAATTATCTGAAGCCAGGCATAATTTTCCTTGAATATTTTCCATGTAACATTTTCGCTTGTTCTGCCGTCTAGCGCGGTGGCCTATTCTTTCCTTTCTCCACTAAAGGTGCGTACTGACTTGGGCATATTTACAAGCTCGTGCGTATAACATTTTATATGACGCATGGAAGGCAGCAAAATTACGTCCAAACTGAGCACACAAATTCGGTGCCGAATGAATTGAATAATAACCAAGCGGGCAAAACTTTAGTGCGAGTAAATATGCTCAAGTCAGTACTCACCTTAAAATTAGCGATGAGACGCTCAAGTCCCTTTTCTTGAAGCGCGTCACAAATGATAAAATTTAATTATTTTGCTTTTTATAAATTATTTAATCATTTTTCAATAAACAAATTATTATGGTTATAGGATTATTTCATAAGGGTGTCTCACAAAGTGGTGTATCCTTGAACCCATGGGTTATAATGGAAAACCCATTAGAGCAAGCAAATAAATTGGGAGCTGCAGTAGGTTGTAGTACCAAAAATACAGAGAAGCTTGTGAAGTGTTTAAAAAAGAGGCCTGGTAGACAGATTGTTTCTGCCATATCTCATTTTCAGGTATTTAATAAAATATAAAAATATTTAAGCTAATATATGCCATACTTAGCCATGGTTATATAATCCGTTCTCTCCATTTGGAGTGGTCGTGGATAGTTGGTCAAAAAACCCCTTATTAAGAGATCATCCCTATAATTTACTTAAAAATAAACAAGTTTATGATGTTCCATGGATTTCCTCTTTTACATCAGAAGAGGGACTTTACCCTGCTTCAGGTTTGTGATAAATGTAAGTGTTTGGGCACACTGAATGCATTCAAATTTTAGAATTTTACCCAGAAGAATATTTACAAGAATTGGATTCAAAATGGAACGATATAATACCACATATTTTGCATTATAATTTTACTATTAATCACAATGAATTGGATAAAATAAGCAGTCAAATTAAAACATATTACTTAAAAGATAAAAAAGTTTCAAAAACTACATATTCAAAACTAGTTAAGGTAAAAGTTTCTTCCTACCAAAGAAAAAATATATTAATATTTATTTTTTAGTTAATTGGCGATAGGCTATTCTACTTTGATATTGAAAAAGGTGTAAAACTACACTCTGCTGCAGTTAAATCCGATGTATTTTCGTATAAATTTAGTCATAGGGGAGCTTATAGCGCATCAGACTTTATATCTGGAAGTAGAGATAATTTAGGTAAGTAGTGGTGCACGAAGCACTTTTCGAACGTATTTTTATAGTCATTTAAGCTATTGATTGAAACTATTTATCTATATGGATTATTCTATCTGGGTTTTAAAATCGACTTTGTAATTTTTGCATATTTTTTTTAGTTTTAATTTATACTTATATTAATTAGGTGCCTCACATGCGGACGATACCGCCTACATATTTCACACATTTGATACCAATTCAACTCCTGAAGACAGGGCAGTTAGTGATTTCTTGATGGATACATGCACAGCTTTTATGAAAACAGGGTAATAAATATAATTTATACTGTGACTTACCATTACATTTTGATTTGTATTCTTAGAAAACCAATGTCCAAGATTCAATGGCATCCAGTTTCTAAAAATCTTGCAGATCCTTTGAATGTATTGCACATTGAAAATTCAAATTCTATTAAAATGGAAACTTTACAAGACATCAGTAATCAACAGTTTTGGAATTTGTTACCTTTTGCAGAAAATGAAAAATTATTAGCCAAAGAAAACAAAGATGAATTATAATAAAAATATACTTAGTTATAAAATAAAGTTTTATTAAACATAATTACTGTTGTTGCTTTATATGATTCAGTCATATAATTGTGTTGCTATTAAAATATTAGTACTTAACGACTATACATATTTGTTAAAGTTTATCATAAATAATAATTTAAAATCATTTTTATACTGTTACTGCAACTTCTCCTAAAATATCTGACAATCTTTCCAAATGTACAGACACTGATCCAATGTCTTTAGCCGATTTACTCCTATTAAGTAACTGAAGGGCGTTCATATACTCCAACTCAGAGAATTCTGGTCCTTTTTCAACGATACCATTTAAAATTTCCTTAAAAAATAATAAAGATTAAATTAAATTACCTAAAAATCACTGGTTAGTCGTGGAGTCAAAGACTCCAAGACTTGTAGGAGCAGGGGAAATTTTGGAAATGCTACTTCCGGGGCAGTTAGATATACCTTTACATATATGGATGGACTTCTGAACAACTTTCATTTTTTCTATTGTCTGGTAACCTTAGAGCCAACCACTTATTAATTTGTCGATCTGGATAGTGCGTTACGTCACACCAAGCATAAAAAATATTTTGTTTTTTTAAGGTAGTTGTCGTGGTACAATATAATCAAAAATTTTTAGATTATACGCACCGTAAAAGTATACGAGCTTGTAGCTAAGTGATTCAAAATTTGTTCGCAAGACTGTACCCTGGAGACGTTACCTTTACGTAATACTTTCAAATATTTTCATAAGTTTTAATCCGACAACGTGGCTTATGCTCAACCAATAGATTGGAGACTGAATCAGTCCGTTTGAATTTACTGCGGAACTATTATCTATACTCGCGTACAGCCTTGCCAAGTTGTTTTTATCTGACACTTTTTACAAATTGTTGAACTTTAAACGGTTATTTATAAACAATTGGACGGTCAAAAATTTTTAATTATTTTTTTTAAACTGAACTACAGAAAGCCTATACAATCCATGTTAATTATCCAATTTTTAAATGAATTTATCTCGGGTTATAGACGGTCAATCGACTTCAAATTTTAAGGATATATGTATTGTCATGTCCTTAATAACTTATTAAGTATACAAAAATTAAAAAATTTCTGATATTATGCTTACAGCACAACTACCTTAAGTGAAATTTCTTTATGCACGATAAGGCAAAATAATGTTATTTTATTTTATTATTTTAATGTGCTTTTAACATGCAACAGGCCCAATTACAGGAGTACACACTGGTGGGATTCGAACCACGACGTCTTGGCTTGTAGTCCACAGTCAATCAATCAATCAATCAATAGAAATTTATTAACAATAATATCACAGTATTATACAATACATCCATAATGAACAACAAGTCATTTAATTTATTTGAGATAAGGGAGGTCTGCCAACGGCGAAACCTAGCTAATGTTAAGCCATCTTAATATATTATCCCCATTATCCACAGTTCTGACTAGTGACGAGGGCGGTGGCGGTAATTTAATGCGACTTGCTATGGAACGCTCTGTGATTTGACGCAGGGGAATTTGACAATAGGCAACAGTATAATACATCAAGCAGGCTTGTAAAACCGAGGTTGTGATGTGACGAAAACAACGTTGTCACTAAGCTAATTTTTTTCTAGCAGTTATAAAACACATTTAACCCACAATCCATGTGTGGATTGTGTTTTAACCAAAACAAGCTATTCACGAATAGCGATTTTAGTCTATCGTGGCGCTGCCTAGGAGAGAGAGAACTTAATAGGTATTATTGACGGATGACGGCCATTCAATGTTGCCAGATGTATGATAATTATCGTAGAAGAACGATAATTTTGAAATTATTAAATAAAATTATTATTAAATGTTTTAATAGTTATTTATGTCATTTGGTCAAGAAGTAACTCTTTTTGTGCATTCGGGTTTTTTCTTCAAGTCGTGCACTTGCTCTATGAGAGTTTGAAATATAAGTGACTTTGTGACCCTGGAGGGACAAAATTTAAATCCCAGCACAAACATAAGCTGGTAACTATCAAATATATAAAATCTACATCAGATTAAATAAGTAACAAGACATTTTCACTACAGATGGATGAAATATATATATATATATATTATATATATATATTAGGGTGGTCGTTATGTCGGGTAAAACAAAATTTAACCTGGCCGCCCCTTAAATTAACTCAAAATAGGAAGAAAAAATGTGTGCCAAATTTCAGGCCTATAGGTCTATCCTAGATTACCCCTGTGAACCACTTTTTCACTAAAACTTTAATTAAAAATGATAAAGTAATTTTTAATTTTATATTTATTATAAATAATAATATTTATTGTTATTATTATAATTACGGGAGAAATATTAATCAAATTATGCATACAATACTATACAGGGTGATCCAAATTAAGGGCGCACCATCGCTAACTTCGTTATTGTTGATTCTATGATGTCGGTGAAATTAACAAACAATCAGTAATTTTTTTGCTGATTGCGAAGGTAAAACGATAAAAATAATTAAGCCAAACAAAATATCAAAATTTAGAATAATTGTATTTAGAATATTTGCTTACTTAATTTTGATCACTTTGTATTTAAAAAATTAAATTGTTTTTAATATTGTTTCTTTATTTGCACCTGCAAAGAATTTACGGTATTCAGAGATGATCTGAGGAGCATATTTTATAAACACAGATTATAAAGGTTATAAATCGAAATGTATTTCTTGAAAATTGACAGTTTTTCACAGTGAAAGTAAAGAAAATGTTTTATGAACACTTTACAGTGGAGTCCGTGCCCGAATTTAAGAAATTAAAAGGTCAGTACAATGTTCATATAAACTTTTCAAATATTGGCGTTGAGAAACTATTTAATACTTTTGTATTTTTGTATTGAAATAATAAAATAATTTCCACATTTAGTATTATTTTACAAGAAAGGCACTTTATTTTAACGATTGACATTTGACAACTGTCAACTAACTTAAAACTAACTTCAGCCCGTGACTAAAATCCTGTTGCTAAATTCAGCCCGTGACTAAAGCCAAAAAGCCACAAAGCCATAAAGCCACAACTTGTCAATGTGTATTTAAAAGGTCACTTAGTGTCATGGAAACATGTACTATAAAGGGCGTTTTAAAGGTGAGAGTAGAAAAATACATTTAACTTATTTGAAAAGGATTGGTGTAGCGGAAATGTCTGCATCTCATGCTCAAGAAAACGTATGCGTAAATACGAATTTTATTTTGTCGTAAAAATAATTCTTAAAAGAATTTCTACGTCATTAGCTGTACTGAAGGAAAATTTTTTATTGTATAATATTTTAAATTATCGTATAAAATTTTGTAGAATTTCACAGAAATTATAAAGATTATGTAAAAAGTAATCGTACTAAAATTGAGTAAAACTAGTACCAGATTCGTTTAAGGTAGGTAATAAAAAAAATTAATTTATCGGAATCTCTTGTCAATAATTTTCACTTATCTCTTTTCAATAATTTTTATTTTTTTAATAATACAATTAAATCACATATTTTCAAAAATAAAAAATCGAAAAAATTAACTATAACTTTAACTTTAACCTTAAATAACTTTTAAATCAGTGAATTTATTAAAAAATCTTAAGAAAGCTTTTTTGTACAGCGTTTAATTTCCTATAAAAATATGTGTCTCTTATTGCTGTATATTAACTTTCATCAGTAAAAAATCGGCAATAATAGGTGTAATTTAATTTATAGGAGCACCCAATAGATTAAAACCACAATTAATTTACAAAATTTAACGAATATAATTAGCCAAAAACAAAACAACAAAGACAAATACCTAATAACAAAATATATAAATGCTTAAACAATAATAACGAAAAACCACTACCACAAAAGAGCCACATTAAATAAAGAGGAGAGCCACAAGTCCCTCGAAAGTGGCAACGCTGGACGACGAATGGTTGTAACCATATTATTATTATACATGTATATATTAATATAAAAAGTAAAAGAAAGTGGTCAAATGCATTGTTGTAGTAAGTACAGCGTTTAAATCGCCCCCATACATAACTGGGTAAACTAATGGTAACATAACCAAAGAGAATTATCCATATATTTGTAAGGCAAGTGGTTACTTAACTTCAGTATCTAGTTTTGCCTTTTGTATGGTTAATAACCATTGGTTACCATATAAATATTGTGGGGCATGTCAGAAATTTTTAAACATTGATGCATATATTAAACATGGATGCATAGATTATTGAATGAGTTTTATTAACGTTTGAATGGAAAAAAACTGGGGTCCTATAAATACAAATGTATTGCCCCAAGTTGTACAAATATATATTATGTACAAATTAACAAAAATGGCTACAAAAATATTTTTTTTAAATTTTCCCAATAATGTAAAAAAACGACAAAATTGTTTGAAGTCACCCTACCAAAAAATAAGACGTGAGGATCATTTCGATTTTTATGGAGGATCTGAGAAAACTTTAAATTGCTAAAATAAAAAACTGGGTTTTATAACACTAGGATGTAATATTTATAATACTTAAAGTTTAATTTAATTATTTTGCTTGAAAAATATAAATAATAAAACACATTGTTTTTGGTTTTATTTAGGTATTTACTTTGATTTATTGTTATTACCTTTTTAATATAATATCGATTTTGGAATCTTAGCTTTACATTACATTTTATAAAGTTCCCAGTAAGCCAGGTTCTATACCTATATGTTTCCAAAGTTATGTATGGCGTCGCACTGTGGGCCCTATGCCCAAACTAGGTTGCAATAAGTCATTATTGAAAATGTATAATTTGCCACTATTGTTTTATTAAAAACATATTCAAACTTGTAAAAACATAATTGCTTTTTGAAAATACTCTACGAAGACTTTTTTATAAATGCCCAATGTCAGATCTTTAAAAGAAAGTCTATTTTTAATGCAATCGTTTTAATTAAAACTACGATTTTTGCGATTTTTTTACATCTTAGAGGGCCGTGAAAAGCAAAATTCGTCTTAAACATTTCATAACTGACATTAGACCTGTCAATTAGTTGTGTTGGGTACATGAAATTATAGAAAATTCGTATTTTTTTTTGTTTTTGGCAAGAACTGATAAGGTAATTAACATGAATATTTAATTTTTTAAGTTTTGCAGAGTAAAAAAATAGGAAGGCCAACGAATGCCAAGCCAAAATATATATTTTTTATTAGACAAAGATATAGATTACTAAAAACTGTTAACCAAAAAAATCGCGAAACTTATCCCAGTCAAAAATGTAAACTTCTGAGAAAAGAAAATAACAATTAATATGCATCTTAAGTTGTTTATCGCATGTATTTCTTGGGCAATGAGCAGATTATATACATACGTTTAATATTTGTGTTTACGACTACTTATTCTTTTTATCCGTTTTTAATATTACATCAAGGTGGCCTAGATGTATTGTTAAAAATTGCTAAGAAGCCATTAAAAAATCACATTTAATTCCAGAATTATGTTAAGAATCCGAGAATGTAAATATATACAGGGGTTTCTATTTAGTTAGTTTTTTTAACCTGGACCGAAAAAATATGCGAAAACCCTCTTCTTTATACACCATTTACCTATTACCAACACTCTGTATTTCACTTTTTATCTGCTAAACGAAGCAACTGCGTGGAGTCAAGTTGACCTATTTTCAGAAAAGGAATCTCTAGATTTAATATGTTCAATAATTTTCGGGATAAAACATAGTAGCTATCGCGATATATCGACATTACAAAACATTTTTTTTCTGGCTAAACCGCTCATCCAACTTTTACAAGAGACAAAAAAGTTTTTAAACAAAGTGAGCTTTCTATTTGCTAGCAAATTGGTAACCATTGCATCAACAGTAAAAAAATACAAGCGAAAATTAGTACCTAAAGGTACTATTTTGTTGATGCGACTCGCGGCTGCGATCGTAGCCGCTCCACTGCTTAGTAGAATTTGTTTGTATATGTTTTGGTTGACGCGTTCAGTCGCAGACTGCGACTGAACGCGCCAACCAAAACGTATACATACAAATTGTACTAAGCAGTGGCGCGGCTAAAGGTACAGTTTCGTTGATGCGACTCGCGGCTGCGATCGTAGCCGCTCCACTGCTTAGTACAATTTGTTTGTATATGTTTTGGTTGACGCGTTCAGTCGCAGACTGCGACTGAACGCGCCAACCAAATCGTATACACACAAATTGTACTAAGCAGTGGCGCGGCTAAGGTCGCAGCCGCAAGCCGCAGCCGCGAGTCGCATCAACGAATCCGTACCTTAAGGCCGCAGCCGCAAGCCGCAGCCGCGAGTTGCATCAACGAATCCGTACCTTAACCTTGCTTTTCTGATTATTCTAATTTTTAAAGATAACTGAGTGTAGCACCAAACGACGTTAATTGGCAGTTAAAACTTATATTCCAAAAATATTCAAAATTCATTAATTCGTTTTTATTATTTAAAAAAATAGTTATTTTTCAAAACTTTGAAGGACTAAACGAATCATCTTAGTGAATAGGTAATTTGGGTTAAATCGAATTATTTTGATCCGTAGATAACGTTGGCATTAATTTTCAAAAATACTAATGTGGCAACACTGGAAAATAAAAAAATAAATTATATAATTACCAGCATTGGTTAGTCTCAAAGTTTAATTATTTTTAAAGTTTTAAGTAAATAGAAAAAAAAATTGAATTAATGCAACCTAGTTTGGACATAGGGCCCACAGTGCGTCGCTTTAAACAAGATATCTCTTTCTCTATGGTTGCAACACTCGCCGATCGGCTCGAGCCGTGACGGTCCGGAGCAGATTCGGCCCTTTATTGTCGATTTTAAGAAATATTTTGGGCCTAGTTTTTTATGAAAATTGCAAACCGCGATTTGGGCAATTTCCTAAAAATAGGTTGCTGATTTTTTTGCTACTGTTTAAATTAAAACTTTACTTAAAATAAATCTACAGTTCGTTTTTTTATACGGAATCTGGCGTCAAAAATTTGGGGGTTTAGTTGACAAATTCTAGGAACCCTAAATTTATAATTAGCTACAGTTCATTTTTTTTTATCTGGACTCGTGTTTTTTTCTTAGGTTGGTGGCTTATGCCAGTTTGACTTGGTATTTTTAGTATTTAAAAATGGTACTTCTGCTAAAGAATTTAATTAAATACTTTGACACTGTCAAATTGACAATAAGATTTATTATTGATAATTTACTTGTCAATTATAAATAAAAAGATAATTGTACCAAAAATAATAGCAACGAATTCGAATGTAAAAGCCCTTTTCAGGGCAAAACTTCATTTTAATAAAATTATGCCAAATGCCACAATGGAAGAAAAAGTACATCGCCTTATGGACATTTTTGGAGTAAAAAAGTAACGAATTTGGTTTTATAAATAATACATCACACATTATTTTCACATCATTCACCATTGGACATTTACGTTCAAAAAAAAATTTTATTTCTTTTATATAAATTCTTTTCAAAGCGAAGATTATTATCCGCTAGGAATACTTTCTCTTCTGGGCCGTAAAGCAACATATCGTCCCCGTTCTGGCAAAAGTAATTAACTCCATTTTTGTCTAAAAGTAGTTGACTACCTTCGCGATCAAAGAACAATTATATCTGTGGTCTAGAAGAACTTATTAAGTGCAGTATTGTATTTTTAGCATGCTAAAAATACAATACTGCATTTAATAAGTTTTTCTAGACCACAGATATAATTGTTCTATGATCGCAAAGGTAGTCAACTACTTTTAGACAAAAATGGAGTTAATTACTTTTGCCAGAACGGGGACGATATATTTAACTACTTTTTTATATGATTTTACTCATCCAAGCACCACCAAAGCCAAATTAATTGCATTTTTAACTACGAATTTCGACAACTCAACTTGACAACTGCACAATGTAACCTACAATAAATTATACATAACCACAATTAGATTTATAACTAGTTTGTTTTAATCAATGCGACCAACTGTATTTACCAAACCAAAACCCTAAATTTGCAAGTCCAGATAAAAATGTCAAATATAAGTTGTTAAAAAATGAAATAACTTTACCTTTAATGAAATTTAGGTAACTTTACGGCCCAAAAAAGGCAAATTTGCATTGCCAGATTACAAATACACATGTATGTTTATAATTATTTTTTAATTCTGATAGTTAAATGACAAATTTATTTAAAATTATAATTTAATGGCTTGAACAGGAGTACCAATACTTGAAAAAGGACAACTTTGGTGTTATTTTAAACAAAATTAGAAATATTCCCCAACACCAAAACAAAACACAAAGTGCCTAAAGTACTTTTCGCCAACGACGTTGGCGTCTTTAGAATCGGGTCACGGTTTACGTGTTCACTGAAGCGGTTACGGTCCACGATTTAGTAAACTGCATCCGTTTACGGTTCAGTCAACCTTAGCTTATATTTAGTATACATATGGTAGGTTTAGCAGTTAGATTAAGTTACACTTCGCTTCTAAAAATGCCAACATCGTTGGCAAAAAGTACATTAAGCACTTTGTGTTTTATTTTGGTGATGGGGAATATTTCTAATATTTGTTTAGGAGTAACAATTTTAAATATTAAAAATACCAAAGTATTAACATACAATACTACCATAATCAAATGTGTCAAAAAAAAGAACTTAATGAGCACAGATCTGCTTACAATATTAACAAAAATACAATTAGCAATCACCATCTTTAAATTAATACAATAAATATTAATTTTTGTACATCTAATTCATTCCATAAAATTGTTTACTATAAAGATAAATGTCTTTACCTATAGGTGAAAATTTTAAAATGGTTTTATGCATTTACGTATTTTAATGCATTTTGCGGATTAACCCGTTACAAGAAATTGATTTATTAATAAAGAGATTTTGCGACTGCCCATCATCTTAAGTGGAGATTTTAATGTTAATTTTCCTCTAGAGAAAGGACAACCGTTAATAGATTTAAGATCGTGAATTTAACATTAAAATTTAATAACAAATCGTTATTAACGATCGTTATACATCCACCATGAAATCTAGATTCCAGGAAGAATAATAAAGGCAGTGTTTGTTAGATTTTTAGACAAATTACATTAAAAAATATTTATTTCAGCCTATTGTTTCGGCCTGTAATGTAAATCTGACAAAAGTACAAGAGTAATAAATTGAAATTAATTAATCAATAGATGGTTAATGCTTATTGAAAATTATTTCAACAAATGTAAACTAACCCCTTCCTGGTTTTATTGTGAATACAAATCCATCCATCCAGACAGGTAGTCTGTGGTTATAACGGAAAGCAGTAAAATAAATAAGACTGGGCATTAAAGTAAATCTTGTTCTTTAATATATACCTATTTGTTTACTTATTTAGGTAAGCTAAATTAGGTGTGGTTTAAATACTAAAAAGTTAAATAAGGAAATATACGGTTTTTTGATTAGGTCGGTATTCAAAAATCTTACCGTAAAACGAATTTATGACTGCAGATATGATTTAAAATATAAAGTATTTTTGATGTATGATATTCCACATAGAACTAAAATTAAACTTACCTCTGGAGTTATGCAGAAAAGTTCAAAATAATGTCGGGCATGATCTAAGGCTACCTCCCTGGTCATGGTAATATTTGTTAGAGTTTGTTGCAAAGCAAAAATATTTCTAATTATTCGCTGTATACCGCTCTCATTAATATGTTGCATATACTGCGCTGAACTAATTAATATTTTAGCTATTAAATGACCCAGACCCTCAAAAATATACTAAAAAATATGAATATTAGAAATAGTTTTGTATTATTATTTTTTAAATACTTTGCATTTTCTTGAGTGTAAGCTCGACGTCATAGCTTCGTCAACATTCGCCAGTACTCGACTCAACTCGAGTACTTTAGGATCTGGCTCGTGCGTTTCCTTGTTTTGGTGAGTTTGAGCTAACAAATAATGGAAACATTGCACCCGGACCTAAAGAAAAAAATTCAAAATACAAAAATAAGGCATGCCTTATGCATTTCATTAGGTTAAACAATTTGATGTAATACACATAAATGTCGTGATGTTTTTTGATATTTTTTACAGTTCTATGTTTAAAGAAAACAGCAACTTCCGCAGCTTTCAAATTAAATTTTGTTTTCATTATTTTTTATGTTACTTTTTTTGGCCAGTTGTGAGTAAAATGTAAATTAAAGTAAAGGCAACGGAAGTGACGTCACACCTAATGAAATTTCGACACCAAGAAGTTAGCTGTCTAAGAAAACCAATATGAGTGAGAGTGGCCCAAGCAAGAGAGAAAGAAATAAATTAATAGAGTATGGCGGCCGCACGTGGTTTTATTGAATGAGTCAATAGGTGCGTTCTGAGATCTCAGCTCACTTCAGTTAATGTGATATGAGATGTAGTGATGTGAGTAAGCATTAAAAAGAACGAGACACTCAATTGAAATGCGCAATCTGACGGCGCATACGTGAATAAGAGGCAACATGACCTATCTCTGATATAATTATGTGTCATATCCTTATTGGTTTAAATTTCGTGTTTTTCTATGTTTAAATTTGCGTTGAATTATGGATAATACCTTCCTGCACCCTCTGTGCATCTTTAGTGGACAAATTAAGTATATATTAAAGACGTTTCCCGATCTATAATACTTATTCTTTCCATAATTGGGTGACAAACAAAAACAACAATTTTTTGATAAGAATATTAATTTTATGACAAAATAAAAATTAAAAAAAAAAACATGTTTTGTTTAATTTTATTGTAAAGAGTGTTTTTATCTACTCCTATTGCATAATTTTGGTGTTTTTCCGTGAATATTGTAAAGCATTATAAATTTCCTGCCTAACAACGTGAATAATAAACTCATTCACGTTGTTAGGCATCAGTGATTGGCCGTTCACTGTGATTTGAACCAATCGGGTTTTAAATTGGAAGAAGGCGACTATAATAACATTTAAAATTGGTAAAAAGTAAGGTTAACCATTTGACAGATGTCAGATTTTATTTATTTAATTTTAAAAATCATTTAATTATCTACTTATTGGAGTAGATAAAGCAGGGGCGGCTAGTGCATAAGGGCTGCAGAGCTGCAGAACTCCCAAAATTGTCTTATTACTTGACTAATTTTTTAATTATTTAATATTTAAGTGCGACAGTGTATAATTATTTCAAACGCATGGCTGCATAAAAAGTTTTTATTATAAACATTCGCCGTGTCGCCGTACTTGGCCACTACAGTCATCCAAACGACCGGTAAAGGTCTCTAACGCTTAACACGTTAAACGCCACGGCGTTATTGGTGATTTTTTTTTTATTGGGCCAAGTTGTTATTTTTGTATTTACTTGTATCCTTTTAAAAAATAAAATCGCCCAAATACAGATTGAAAAATAAATAATTAAAAAACTCTGGTATCTTCGTCAGCCATCAGGGCCAAGCTGTCCTATGCATGCTTTAAAATACCTTATACGAGTGGTCCGCTGGCCAGAAAATCATGTTAAACAAAAAATTGACAGTCGGTCCACAGGGACCGCCGTGGCCTGGATGGAAAAAGTATTAGCGGTCCCCTGGGACCGACTTGGCTGTTAACGTGTTAACGCTTACAATACAACAAAGCTGGGCCACTTTCGAATTCTGGCTCTCATTTCAATACCGTAATTTTGCTCCGCGCCGCTCTTGGTCCTGGGTTAAGATAGCGAAATTTAACCCAAACCGGAGCTGCACCAACATACAGTTCCTACTTCCCGGTCGTTTGTTTTTCGCTTCGCGTTCACGTTTGTTATTTTAACTAGAAGACTGTTAATTCTGTGTATTTTTGTGTTTGTTGTTGTATTCTTTTGAAAGAAGAAATTAAAACTAAAAGAAGATGGACGGGTGTTGCCCGATATTTCAATAGAAAAGTGTGGTTCAAGCCGGGGAAAATCGCATAAAAAGATTTTTACAAGAGACATTTATGCCAGAAACGACTGGATATGCGGATGCAATAAAAAAAATTCCCTTTTTTGTTTTCCGTGCCTTTTGTTTGGTGGAGAAAAAACTTGGACCATAGTTGGTGTAATCGACTTAGTGCACCTAAGCGAAAAAATTAAACGTCATGAAACATCGAAAAACCACTTAAACCATGTTTTTTAATTATTTATTTATTTTGAAGAAAACTGTAGGTACCATTTAATTAAATGCCAACTGCGCCACATTTTTTTAAACCCCACTGGCAGAACTCACAAATTTTACTGCCACGAGCCGCGGATGATTTAGGTCTCTCGTCGGGCGACTCGATACTTAAACCTCATCCTTGTGAATATTAGCCTGCATTATCTCTCGTATAATAATACTTCTGAAAAACTATTTTAATCGAATTTTATTTATTATATTAAGTTCATAGTCAATTTACAAAATTTAATTATTTTTATGGAAATTTAAGTTTTATTGCAAAAAATCATTTTTTCGTAAAAATATTAATTTTATGATATAAAATAAGATTTAAAAAATCTTCACTTTTACTTTCTTTGTATATTGTAAAAAGTGTTTTTCTCGTTCTGAAAAGCAATTTTATTCGAATTCTATTTATTATATCAAGTTTATAGCTAATTTACAAAATTTTTCACATAAATAGGATTAGGTTATATTTAAAAACAAATCAATAATTTCTTTATCCCCTCCCCTTTATTTCCGACTAAATTGAAACTGATTCCCCCGCACAGCATGTGCAGTATCGGTGAGGGGGGAGGAAAAATCTCAGCTCACTTTATGGTGAGTGAAGCAAAAAGAACGCGCACATTTCCAGATTTTACCGATGTGAGCTAAGATTAACTGAGATCTCAGGTGAAAAGAACGCACCTAATATTAAAAAAAACTTACCTCAAGATGTAAGAGTAAAAGACAAGTGTTGGCTAACTCGTCAAACTCTTGCGCAACGCTGGTAAGCTGTTGCAATGTTGCCGCGGAAACAGGCTGCATTAGATCGTTTGCTTCTTTGTAAATTGTCGGAGACAAGCTCGACGGCCCCTGTCTAAACTTGCTAGTGAATTCAAACATCCTCACCGAAAACCACTCCATGCTCTCTTGCAACTGAGCCAACTCTTTTAGCAACGACATGTCGGAGAGGATTTCGCTTGCGGCGACGCCGCCTTCGCCCAAATTGCTTGCCAGTATTTCCGCCTCGCGACGGTTACGCATTCTGACGTCTTCGGGACTCTCTTCCTCGGAAGGTTGATCTCTTTTGAGGACGCGACGCGTTCGTTCGTTGCGCGCTTGATATTCCTGCTGGGTTTTGAGGTTTAGCCAGTTTGGAAGTGATCTAAGATAAACATTTTACGATATAATTTCGTACAAAAAATAAATCTAGTTTGTCAAGTCAAAATTACGAATACCCGGATATAAAACAAAGTGCATTTAATTTTTTAATTGAGGGTCTTTATTTTCTCACATTCCTGGTGTTATGGAATATTTATTATTATTTGATTATTTAAAAATTGAGGAAAAAAGTTAAATTAAATTTTCGCAGAAAGAAATGTTTTACGCAAATTTTTTAATTTTAAAAATTGCCTTTTATTTATTTTAAACAGTTCTACCTAGAAACTAATTTTAGTAATTGGGAACTGTTTAAAAAAGGATTTTAAAGATTAAAAAATAGCTTAAAACATCTCTTTGTCCAAAAAATAAATAAATGCCACTGGACAAATTTTTAATTTTTTTTAAATTGTACATATTTATATGCTCTTCAACGACTATGCTGCCGCACAGTGGGAGGAATTTAAAAAATCGCGGATAAAATTGGGGACACATTATTTTATACTATTTTAAGGTTTATGCGGTAGTAAATTTATGATAAAATATTAATAATGATTATTTCCCTCATTATAATATGAACCAATCAAAAGCCTTGAATTTTCGAATAAATTTCGTTTAAATAAGCGATTAAATCACTAGACCTATTTAACAGCGATTAAATTTTAGCCTCCATATTGGATTTTTGTTTACGATTTTATGGTGTTATTTACAAGTTTTAACAAACATTTTTTAAAAAACAATAAAAAATAAGTTATCTAGTTTACGAAATATCAATTATTACTCATTACATACCTTAAATTAATGGAATTTTCTTTAAAAAAATATTTATAAATTTTGACACATGTGTATGTATACGTCAGATTTTATGAATTGTTAATAGTATATCACTCAACCTATAAATTTAATCTGTCAAACTATGCTCAGTAAGTTTTTTATTTGATTTTTCTTTTTGGAAAATAGTTTCATGCAAAATAATTAAAAATAAAACCCCTCGACCGCTACGCGGTCTCGTGATTTTATTAAATTATTTTGCATTCAACATTTTCCAACAAAAACCAAACAAAAAACTACTGAGCCTAGTTTAACCGATTAAATTCATAGTTCTCGTGATATAATAATATATATTATATGATAAAATGTTTCAATTATGTACAAAACCTCACAAAATTTTTATTTTATAAACAAATAAATTACGCAATATTACCTAGGCTAAAAATTGAAAAGTAAACAAAAAACAATAACAATTAAGGAACATTCGAACAAAATAACTTATATCCATTTTTTAGGTAAATCTTTTCTTTGTCAATTTCGCATCTTTAGCTTTATTTATATCGACTACTAAAGTGACTTGGCCCAAAAAACCCTATATCGATTTTAAAATTACATTTAAAAGTTGATTTTAGAGCAAAATCGATTAAATCCACGTTTTATACCTAACCTAGTCGGAGGATTTACTGATAAATACGTTTTTACCTTGTAAAATAACTTCTGCTAATAAATTAACTTTTTTTTGTTTCATTTTATTTTTGCACTAAGAATATGTGTACCGTAAACACGGGTGGCTTTAACTCACTTTCAAACTTAAGCTTAAAATTTTTGTGGTTTTAACAATCATAAACATTAAATATTGTATTATATACCAAAATTTGAGTCTTGAGTTGCTCTTTCATAATAAGTTATTAATAACTATGTTATATAATATAACGTAGGGCTGAGTTTCAAAAATAAAAATTAAAAACTGGGTGTGCAAAGTTACCCCCTGGTTGCGGATAACTTTGTCTCACAGTGTACTTTCCGTATACTCAATATTTTATTAGACACATGTTAGCAGCGACATATATCTGTTTCACGGGGTTACCGATAAAAAAAATAAAAAATCGACCTGTAGTTAACCAAGGATCATCATAGCCTAATAAAGAAATTATAGCGCGTGTATTTCTAAGAGTTCTGCACTGATGCAATATAAACAATTTTAAAGTGTAATAAATCCCATTTATTTCCTTAAAATACTGAAATACTGAAATATAAACTCAATAGAATCGCTCAATTGACAAATTATAATTTATAAAATTAACATTTATAATTTATAAATGTTAATTTTATCGAATGCGAAACGATTTTTCATAAAAAGGTTAAAGTCACCCAGCGGGTGCAAAGCCACCCGTGTTTACGGTACGGTAAGTTTTAAAGCGTTAATAATATACAAAAACACGATGCGATTGTTAAGAATGACTCACGGCAGGGCTTAAGTAATTTAAATGTAAGTTGAAAGCAACTCTAAATTTTCTTGCGGAGTATGTTTTATTGTGTTATTAGAAGTCAAAATATCGAAAAATCAAAATCGTTAATCAGCCCGTTTCTTTTTTTTTAACCAAATTACGATTTAAAAAAAATGACATTTCGGCATTTCAAACGCGCGAAACGCACGAATAACAAAACTGTTTTTATAAAAAATATTCTTCTTTTATTAGGTTATACATTAAATAAAAAAAGCGCAAGAAATATTTTATAAAAGTAGAGATAATTTTAATAATTGAAATTTAAAGATTTGTCAATTATTGAAATTATCTCTACTTTTATAAAATATTTCTTGCGATTTTTTTTATTTAATGTATAGCCTAATAAAAGATGAATATATTTGAGAATTTTTTTGCAAAAATAATATATAATAAATTACCTAATTTTTTTTATAAAAACAGTTTTGTTATTTGTCCCGGCCGATTTAAATGTAAATAAAAAATAATTTAAATAAATAACTGTGTATACACACACACACACACACACCATATGTATGCTTTTTGGACTGCAATATAAATATTACTGTTTTTTGAATGCCGCGAAATAGCTAAGATAACTACAAAGTATACTAATTTTCGTTCAAGAGATTCTACCTAAAATATTTCTTTCGTATTTACGTAATGCAATCGTTCTCAACTAGATGTAAACAAACAGTAAATGGAGCCAATACACATGAAATGATGTCATGACCTGTCAGATGTATTATAAAAAATTATAGAGAATGGGAAGCCAGTGGACGCGATAACAAAAATTCTAAAGAATTTAAATGCTGCGTTAACATTCCAATAATCAAAGAAAACCCTGATACTTTAATCATCGATGTATTTCCACCGCCAGAATAAGGTGCAATTGGGGTGGTTAATACAATTTTCGAAAAAATAGAAGCTTTATACATAAATGATGCTCTAAAATGGGCGGTAGAATGCGGTGTATCGACAGTGATAACCAACGGAGGACGAGGTTTTGACGGAAATGGATGATTGGGATCCATGGACATATTCCATATCCTGCTGACCAAACCGGCAAAAAGAGGCAGCTAAATTCTTTTCCCTTTTAAAAAAGAAAATTTGATGAACGTTCTGGTATCAAATACTTTGCGTCACACCAACACACACCTAAAGAAATATGTTCTGGTTTGTAAAAGGTTTATCTTCGTTGAAAGGCAATGGTCAAAGGTTTAGAAAAACGTTATTTTTGGTAAAATTTGTAATTTTAGACTTTTATATAAAAGAAAAAGGATAAGGAATGTGATAAAATATATCATCATTTCCTTTCATTAATTACGCAAAACAAAAATGGGCTTGAAAAACTTACATCCAATTTGCTCTAAAAAACCGACACAAACAATGTTACTTTTGAAGCAAGTTTAAGCGGGCATTTTATCATAAAAAAAAAATATTTTTTTAAAATCATAATCTCTGGGCTTTCTTCTTTTATAACTAAATTTGCTATGTTGATTTTCACAATTTTTGAAATTCCTCCCAGTGTGTGCCGTCCTGATAAAGAAAATGAGTAGGGTGAAGTGGGGTAAGTGCGCTTTTGGGGTAAGTGCACCAATTGGGTTTTAAAAAAAAACTATTCAACCTGCGGTGGCACCCTCTGGTAAGTGCGAGAGCATGACTCTTTTCCACTAAAATACACATCCCTTCTTTACCGAAATCAAATTGGTTAACAAAGAATGGCGACTTGATTGAGTGTTGTCGTTTTTACTCGCGTGTTAAATGCGCAGTTCTGTGAAAAAAACACTTATTACTGGAGCTAAGGTATGTGTAAAGCTACTAGATATTTATTTTGAAAGTTTATATGTGTTTTAAGTAAACTAATATGCAAAATTACCTTTATTGTAAAATAAGCTAACTTTGAAGGGGTAGGTGCTCTTGCCCCAAAATTTTCTCTTATTGGGCAAGTGCACCTACCTTCATGGGGAAAAGTGCGTCCACTTTCCCCGGAGTTAGTTCGGCCTACGCAGTTCCGTATGTTCCTGTTTCTAAGCACATTTTTTTCATAGGTACCATAGGAAGAAGAGGCGAAATGAAGTTTTACATCAGTTTCCCGCATTATAATATTAATTAGATTTACTGTATGAAGTTTACCTATCTTTGTTTTTTAATAGTATTGTATTTTTGTTTGATTATTTCATAAACAGTTGAGAATAAAAACTATCAGTTTGTAATCATGTATTTTTTTTGCCAGATAATTTTCCCAATATTCGAGTTAAATGTAATAACTTTATAACCAATAAGTAAATTTAATTGCGGTAAATTGCAAAAAATTCACAAAACTGTGAGTTTGTATACGTTCGTACTTATAATATGGGAACTAACTGGTGGTGGTGCACTTGCCCCAAATATGGGGCAAGTGCACCCACATGTAAATATTTTTTACAAATAGCTGTGGTGGCATATTACCTTTAACGCAGAGTTTAGATCTGCCATGAGATACACCACTAAGGGAGTTGTATACATGCCAAAGACTGGACTCTTACCATTGTTGTAAAGAATTTTATTAACTATTCTATTTGTGTTTTGCACTTGGGTGGGTGCATTTACCCCACTTCACCCAATCTACATTTTAAGTCGAACCTCGCGTGGAATCGCAATAACTTCCTTTCCCTGTATATATTTTCATTCCCTCCCTGTTATCAGGTAAGTCATGCGGAGGTGCACTCCAAAACTTGGCTTATCCATATTAGGTGATTTTGAGCAATATGTCAAAAACCTTACAGGTGAGTACTAACGCATATCAGGCCAACATAATACTTTAAACGAAATATATAGGCATAAGTGTATACCTTGATTAAAAAGGTATATTTCCAATTTAAAATAATTTAAAATTACATACGTATAAGCCAGTTCTGACATGATATAACCTATAGATAAGGCAAGTTTTGGAATGATAGTCAATTTGTAAATGAATTTTAAATGGAATAAGATGATTTTTAGAATATTATGACCTTTTCAGGGTATAGGGAGCTACATGTTGAATGTACAGACTCCACTAACTCATTTTCATTAAAAAGTGGATGAGCCGAGTTTTGGAATGGACCTCCTCACATGTTTCATTCCCTCCCGCTACCATGACGACGCTACTGTGTAATTGACTGTAAATGTAAAGTTTGGAATTAATAGTAGGTATATTGTTGAATCACAGCAATTACTCCCGATGATGAAAGTTTTTGAGCGAGCCGACAGGCGAGAGAAGGAATTCATTAAGGGGGTAATTGCGATTCCATGCGAGGCAAACATTATACTTTTTTGTCGAGTGGTGCTAATTTTTAGTTAATTTTTTGAAAATTAACAAAGTAACGTTTAATTAAAAACTGATGTTTACATTCCTAAAGTCGTTCCAATTAAGTAAATAGGTACGCTAACCTAGGCTAACCTATAGGTATAGTTCAAGTTATTTAGGCTAAACTATAAAAACTCACTTTCGCTTAAAAATACACAATTTGGGTACCCGCAAAGAACTTGTGTCAAAATTATATAAATCTGACGTTTACATTCAAAGCCAATCACACCGAAGCGTCTTCATGGTAATGGAACATTTCTTACCTGATTAGCGGGAGGGAATGAAAATATATACAGGGAATATACGAATTTTTACTTTACGTACTTCAAAAATCGGCTAATGTCCTCATCTTTGAGCCAGGCAGCACTACATATCCTCTTGTCCTCAGAGTAGGGTTGAACAATTCCTCTATAGGCCGCATTACATGTGTCTTTATATTCTTTTAAAGCATTATAAGAAAATACAGCGATTTGTTCGCTATACAGAGGTAGTGCATTTAAAACTGTACGCCATTCCCTTATGCATCTTTCTACAGTTACGCAGCTCTAAAATAATAATAATAATGAATGTCTTTATTTATTTTTTACATTAAGTCTAAAAAATTTACATATCTGGACGAAGTTTGCATAGATAAAAAATAATTAATTATATACTAATAATTCAATATTTTACCTCTAATAATGGCTTATAGTCTGATGTAACATTGAGTAACACAGTGGCTTTCCAGGCTTCAGTGGCTTTTACAGAAGCTTCAATTTGATTTAGTATTTCGGTTGATTTTTTCTTTAGATAAGTACCAGATACATAAGTACTAATAAACTGATATAACTCGCTTCTACAAAAAAATACCATTTTAAATCTATATATATTTAAATAAAATATTCAAAATTACTTGTGTCTAAGTATGCCTATATTTTGCTCCATATCCTCCACAAAAGTTATAAAAGTTATAAAAATGACAAGAATATTATTTGGATGTGGCACACAAATAAAAACCTTATTTTTATCTGAGCATTTTAAAGTACTACTCAAAGTAAGAGCACTTGATGAACCATCAAACTTAAATAAAGACTTTTTTTTACTGAAAAAAGTATAATTACAATCAATGTTATTTTTAAAACAAGATAATTTTACCTTTGTTGCTTTCTTCTAGAGAAAAAGGAATTTACGTCACTACTTTCTGGAGTATTATTAATCTGCATTTCGATTGAAGTATTCTGTATGTCCAAGTAATCATTTAAAAGTGCAACCATAACATTTTGAACTTTACTCCAGAAAAATTTAATATCATATGAGTCTAAAGTTATTTTGTGGGCTTTGGTTGCTTTTTCTAAACAATTTAATAAAATCGTGTGGGCTTGAGCTATTTCTTTAAATTGGTCAAATAGAACTTGAACTAATTCTTTTAAAGCTAACTTATTGCTTGATTGTAAATCAACAAAGCTTTTGACATGATTTGTGGATTGTTGAACAATTTTGACAAGAGTATCTTGCATTGACTTTTTGATTTCCTAAAACATAAGCTACTTTTTATAAAAAAGTTGAATCAATTTTCCATTATTGTATCCAGAATATTTATTTATTAGGTTTTATTAAAAAAGTTATTTATTTATTGGAACAATATTTTTTAAATTATTTCAAACAAAAAAAGTAAAGGTTAATTAAATTGAGAATACTTACATCTATAGCATAAGGCAGTTTGTTTAACAAACATAAGCTTTTTACTAAAATTGCAACAAAATATTTAGAATTTTCCTCAGGATTTAAATCTAAATCCTCTTCAATATCAAAGGAATCGTTTAACTCAAATTCCATATTGCTATGAAGAATAATTTCTTTATAAATTAAAAACAAACAGTTAAAAACACTTACAAAACATCATCCATATTATTTCTAAACATTGCAGATCTATTTCTGCCTGATAATCTCAATTCCATGCTTCGTTGTAGGGGTGAATTGACTTGAAACCCTGAACCTTGTCTTCTTAAAGCCAAAATATTCTTAGAAGGTTTATTATACAAGTTCTCTTTTAATTCTGATAACAGTTTAATATGAAGTTGCTGAAACCAAAAATCTCATAAAATTTGTTTATTAGTTTAGGCACCAAAAATTACCTCTCTTTTTTCTTCCAATTCGGTACTTAATTCCTTTAGACTTTCTACCCCTTCCAAAGTATCTTTACCCAAAGTTACAGCCTCCACTAGTAACATGGTAGCATGTAAATAATGTTTGTGACTCATATAGGAAGCCAATCTGTTTGGAACATCTGTCATTTTTTCTCTACAAGTCATTAAATTTTTAGTTTTTTGTATACATTACTAGCCAACTCATATTGAATATGAGTATTTATTTACTGAAGTGTTTATATAATAACCTATTTAAATTAACTATAAAAGTTTTTACTTTTTAATCCTCAGAAACAACTTTATTTTCATTTAAAATGTTTGTTATATATGTCACGGCTAATGTGCAAACTTGGATAGTTTATAAACTAGCTGGATAGTTTATAAACTAGCCAAAACGGTCAGCTATTTTAATTGAAAATGTATATTCAACTAAATTAGCGGCTAGTTTACAAAATAACCAAGGATCTTGGCTAATTTACTTGAAATTATTAGGGAAACTAAAATAGCTGGATAGTTTGTATACTATCCAATTCAATTTGGCTAATATGAAAACCAAAATTTCTAGTAACACAAAATAGCCAAGCTTTAGCTAGTTTGTAAACTAACCAACTAATTCTCTTGCTATTGCCCATTTTAGTTGGGTTTTTTGCTCAATGGGGCGGGGGGGCCCAATGGGGCGGGGTCGGTTGGGTTGTGTTGTTGAGTTTGGGTTGGTTTGGGTTTTTTTTTTCTTATTTTTGACCATTTGACCAATGGGGCGGGGGGGGGCCAATGGGGCGGGGTCGGTAGGGTTGTGTTGTTGAGTTTTCTAACAAGGAAGCCTTAAAATTTTGCCTATGATTCATTTTAAAAACGTTAAAATGCACAAAACAAATCCGGTTAAGCCGGCAAAACGAAAAACAATGCCGTAACCTCACTTTTTTAATAAATTATCCAGAGAATTGGTTGGTTAGTTTACAAACTAGCTAAAGCTTGGCTATTTTGTGTTACTAGAAATTTTGGTTTTCATATTAGCCAAACTGAATTGGATAGTATACAAACTATCCAGCAATTTTAGTTTCCCTAATAATTTCAAGTAAATTAGCCAAGATCCTTGGTTATTTTGTAAACTAGCCGCTAATTTAGTTGAAAATATGTTTTCAATTAAAATAGCTGACAATTTGGCTAGTTTATAAACTATCCAGCTAGTTTATAAACCATCCAAGTTTGCACATTAGCCGTAACATATATATGTGTAATATTTAAAAGCAATATAATATATTTAAATATTTTTATATATTATATAAAAATATTTAAATTTCTAATATTTCTTTAATATTACAATAAAAAGAAAGCTCACACTTGCTTGCCCCCAGTGTTGCCACGGGATTTTTCCCAGTGTACAAAAATCCGCCCCTTTTGAAAACAGTTGTATCTGTGGATTTTTTAATTCATTGACTTAACCATACAATAGGTGCTTTCCTTTTGCCACGATTCTTAGATATTCTTACCTCACCTTGGTTTATCTCACTTTAGAGACCGTTTCATTTGCAAAATGACAGGTAAGCCAAAGTGAGAATTTTACCTCCCCCCTTACCGATCAAGCACAACCTCCGGAGCACACTTACAAATGAGAAATTTTGATTACTTAGTGGTGGGGATAGACGCACGCCAAAAAGTGAGGTTGTACACTTTCTATCAAACAAAACAGAAGAAAATTAAAACAATATTAGTGATGGGCATAATCGGATTATATCAATATCCGATTATATCCGATACGATTATTTCAATAATCGGATGATAATTCGATTAAATATTCGGCGATTATAAATCGCATACTTTCATTCGGATTTTAATATCGGAATAATTTAATCGAATTGATAATTCGAATGAAAGTATGCGATTAATAATCGCCGTTTATTTTCGAATTAAGTAATCCGCGATTATTAATCGCATATTTTCATTCGGATTTCAAATTGAATGATTCATTCGGCGACTAGAATACCTACAATTGTAGGTATGACTATTTAAATAGTAATTTACGATTACGATGATAGTATTACGATACGATTAAACTAGTATTTTCAGAATCGCTGCTGAATATTACATTCACTACATTCTATAAAATTAAAGAATAAAAAAAGGTATTTATTATTGTTTAAATTGGATTTATATTTTTAACTACCTGTATTATTTGATTCGACATTTTGTTCGTTAAGTCTTTAATCTTTGCGTTAAACCGTCGAGGGAAATGGTTAAACCACAGAACATAAGGGTTAAACTGTCAAGTGTGACTTTTAGAGAAAATAGGCTTACCAACCGTTCCTTTGGTCTATTTTAGGTAAGATGAGTGCGCGTAAGTGGCCTCGCTTATCTCACTTTTGCTTGGCTCACTTCAAAAATGAAAGGAAAGCACCTAATATAATAGACTTACATTTCTTGCAAGAGTTCCAACATGTATTTATACTGTAAACCTTCAAGCCATAGTGTTTTTAATTCATCTCTTCTGCAGTGTAATTTTCTTTTACATTCCTTAAGATTTTGCTTGACAGTGGTAATTTTATCTCGATTTTCTTTAATAATTTGGGATATATTTCCAAATAAATGTAAAACCTTTAACATTATTAATTAAATAACATAGCAGTTACTGCTTAGGTAGGACACTGACAAAAAATATGAAAATGTAATGCCTATATAAATACCACAGTTCACTATAAAAAGTAGACAATATATAAAATATGGCATACTTTTCTTAATTCTTAGTTGGTGTTTTACCACACAAGCAATATTACCTTCGTAAGATCTTGCTCATGTTTTGATACTAAGCTGTCAAGTTTAGCATCACAACTTTTATACTCTGTTTCCAATTTGGCTTTTTCTCTATCTCTTTGTTCATTAGTTTCAATAGATGATAATGTCCTTATTACAGACATTAATAAACCACTCTAAAATTCAAAATATTCCGTTTATAACCTTAAATAAAATCAACTAACCCGAATACTTACAGTTTCTTTTACAGGTTTAACCCCCCGAGGGGGTTTAATTGGAGGGGACTGGTCCATAATTATAGAAATTTAAATAATATTAAGCTAAATTTATAAATAACAAACCACCCATCACATCATCAAAATATTTTTGACGTTTAGTGACAGACTGTCACTGACAGTACTGTCAAAACTTACAGAATGGAAATAGCGCGAAATTTGAATTCATTTTGTATAGAGAATTAATAATAATAATGCGGACCATGATATAAGTTTATAAATACCTATACCTACCAATATTATTACTAATAATTAAATTTTATATTTACTGTCGAAATCTAAAGGAAAATCTAGTAATCAATTAAAATGTCTCCATAGTAAAAAATAAACAATATTTAAACAAAAAGCCAAAATTTGAGTGAACTCCTTGTCAAAACCATCAAAATTTATGTAGCATTTTGAAAAATCTATTTTGGACCAAAAAATTCTAGTAAAAATCATATCGTATTATAAAATTTTAGTAAAAAACCATCATGGTAAGAATATAAAAAACATTTTTTATCACATATTCAACCTTTAACCCTAGAGGGAGTGCATTTCTATCCACGTTGGACAAGCTGGAGTCCAAATAGGTAATGCAACATGGGAACTTTACTGTTTGGAGCATGGTATCCAACCTGATGGAAGAATAACCACTGAAAAAGAGGTGGTATCAGATAATTGCTATGGTACCTTTTTCTCTGAAGTTGAAAATGGAAAAATGGTACCCAGAGCCCTTATGGTTGATTTAGAACCAACTGTTGTCGGTTGGTGAATATTTACCCAAGAACAGTTTATTATAAATTTAAAACGTTTGCTTTTTTAGATGAAATAAGGGGTGGGGTTTATAAAAGACTCTTCCACCCTGAGCAGATGATTACAGGAAAGGAAGATGCTGCAAATAACTACGCAAGAGGCCACTACACTGTGGGCAAAGAATGCATAAACACTGTAATGGAAAGGCTGTACAAACTGGCAGAAAATTGCTCAGGTTTACAAGGTTTCTTGGTGTTCCACTCCTTTGGAGGCGGCACTGGATCCGGATTTACCTCCTTGTTGATGCAAAAGTTATCGCAAGATTTTGGAAAAAAGAGCAAACTCGAATTTGTTGTTTATCCAGCTCCTCAAGTAATAGTAATAATATGGATTTTTAATAAAGCTTTAATGTTATTTTATTTTTTAAAGGTGTGCACCGCGGTTGTGGAACCATATAACGCCATACTTACCACCCATACAACTCTAAGCCAATCTGATTGCGCGTTTATGGTAGACAATGAAGCAATTTATGACATCTGCAGAAGAAAATTGGGAATAGAACGCCCAAACTACATTAATTTGAATAGGCTGATCAGTCAGGTGGTTTCTTCTATCACAGCATCTTTAAGATTTGATGGTGCTTTAAATGTGGATTTAACAGAGTTTCAAACTAACCTGGTGCCATACCCGCGAATTCACTTCCCTCTAGCTTCATATGCACCTGTAGTATCCTCAGAAAAAGCATATCATGAGGGTAATAAGCAACCTAAATTAATTATGTTGTTTTTAGTTCTGAATGTCTTTTACCAAACTGCAGTTGGGATACTTAATAATTGTTTCTCATTCTTTAGGTATGTCTGTGGCCGAAATAACTTCAGATCTTTTTGACCCATCCAACCAAATGGTGAAATGTGACCCAAGAGAGGGCAAATACATGGCCTGTTGTTTACTCTACAGGGGCGATGTTGTTCCAAAAGACGTAAACGCGTCCATTGCGCACATGAAGTCGAGAAGCAACGTTAGATTTGTTGACTGGTGTCCCACAGGGTTCAAAGTTGGCATCAACTACCAACCACCATCTGTTGTGCCTGGAGGTGACTTGGCAACAGTTCAAAGAGCGGTTTGCATGCTGTCAAATACAACAGCTATACTGTCTGCTTGGAAGAAATTGAACAAAAAATTTGATTTAATGTATGCCAAAAGGGCGTTTGTGCATTGGTATATAGGTGAAGGTATGGAGGAAGGCGAATTTTCCGAAGCTAGAGAAGATTTGGCAACATTGGAAAAGGATTATACAGAGGTAGCTACTGATGCAGCCGATATGGTTGATGATGACGTAAATCAGATTTGAGTTTAATTATGTGCTTAGGTTAAATAAATCATTATATTTGAATTAAGTTTTATTTTTACAATTTATAGAATATAGAGTAAAATTAATGAGATCAATAACACAATACATAAATTTAACATGCTACAAATATTAAGATTGTAATTTATTTAGCCTATCTATTTCGAATCCTAATGTTTCCACGTTTTCCTGGATAAAAAATAAAACCAAATTAGTCCTGATAAACAACAAAATTTGAAAGATGCTTTACCTTTAAAGTAATATTTTTAAGTAGTGCATCTTCTAGTACAGCCTGGAGTTTCCTATTTATATCTAGGGATAGTTCTAAGGTTAAGTTTTCATCAGCCACTCTGGAACTATACACAGATGCCATAACGCCGTTTAGTTTTGCTAGCTTCGCCTATAAAAATTAAAAAATAATTTTGGAATTTGCATAAAAAACTTATTTAAACATTTTCTTTAAATAACTATTAACATGTTACTCAAAATAAAACCACCCTGGCAGGTTGATCAACAATGGAATATTCTTGACCTTCCTTTTATTTACTTGGGAAACTCAGCAGAATTTCAATAGAAGACTGAGTCAGTGGCGGATTTAGGCATGGGCAATATGGGCTACTGCCCAAGGTGTCAAATTTTTGGGGGGCGGAGATCCTGGGAGGATACCATTTTTTTGATGTAATACAATAGGTAGGTACAAACAAAAATACGCTGATTATCATATTTTTTAAACCCTCCCGTCCCGAGGCGGGGCTTAAGTTCAGTCCCGAGTAACTTCATAAAATTTGTTGTTACGATAAAAATAAAACAAACCAACCCTGCTTAAAATACCCCATAGAGACCCTGTTCAAACCGATAGATATTTGTATCGGGATGTATGGTGTTTCTATAGGGTGTATCGGTTTGTATAGGACCCATAGTTGAGATTTATGGTTTTTCTATAGGGATATCCACCCTTGATTTATTTGCTATCGGTTTCAATGGGGAAAATACACATAAATGTAGAAATTACTTTTTCCCCTATAGGACCCCATAGGTTTTAATTAAATTATGTCAAATGTTTTATGGTTGCTTTATAGGGATATCCCTATATATCCTTCATTGAGTTATTTGCTATCGGTCTCAATAGGGAAAATGTAAAAGTTATGGTGTGCCTATAGGTAATTTCCTATACATTTTCTATCGGGCCGTATCCGGAAAAAAACATGGACAAATGCACATATTGAATCCGGTAGCGCCCGATAGATTATTTTGTATAGGTCTCTATGGGGTATTTTAAGCAGGGAACCCAACCCAACACTTTTTAACAAGGAACAACAAATTTTTAAAATTAAAAAATAAAAAAAGTTCGACAACTTCTAGTAGTATCGAACCCGGTACCTTTTCGCATGCCATCTGAGCCATCCAGCTTAACATAAATTTTATAACGCTCAGGGAATAAAAACGGATTTACAGTGTGTGACGTCAGTCGGGATCAAAGTTAAGTCCCGCCTCGGGACGGGAGCCACATCGTTTTTAAAGTCTTGTACAAATTATATGACGATTTTAATGTCATTTTTTCCAATAAAATAATGTTAAATAGGGGCTCGATTTTAGTTCTGAACGAGCTGTAGAGGGGAGATTAGAACACCCCTCTCTATTTCTGTGAAACATTCACATTGGCTCGTCCTTATCATAATTTATGGTCCTTATAGAGCTGATCAACTAGCTGCCATATGTATACCAACCTATTAACTGGATGTTATATTCTAACAATCGCATATTTTTATTTGTAATATTAACATACACATCTATTTCGCATAAAAATGTGTGACGGTCGGAAAAAGTGGTTCTGAATACGGAAAACGGTTCTAACATGATTTTAAATTAAATTTAATTAGGTTTTGTTGTTCATATTTATATTTCAAAGTTCCTCATATATTTTTTATCAAGAGATCACTTCACAAAAATCACTTGTACCTATAACAACATGATATAATATTTATTTTCATCATAAAAAATACGTGACATTTTCCATCGGTAGAAGGCGGCACAAGCAAAATCCAGGTGGCACTGCGATCGAAGGATACATGAAAATAATCGCGGGTGATGAGTACTACACGTTAGTTTTGTTTACATTTTCGAAAATGTAATATGAGTTTTTAGATGTGTCGAATAATAATGTGGCGAGTTAAGAGTAACATTTTAAGCAAATTAGTTTATTTAAAGAAAATATTTTAAACACTAAAAAAATATTATATATTATATTATATAGAGGGTGGCGCATTCACGTCGTAACGGGAGGTTATTTTAAGTATAAAAAATACAATACAATTTTCCGACAGGGATTTTCGAGTTTAATTTCAGTCTAAAAAACTTCAACGCTGTGTTCTTTCTGTGCTGTATATAAAACAAAATAAACAAGGCATCTACCAGCAACATAAAGTTAAAATACCTATTTTAACATCAAGTTGCTGCTACCTGTATTTTCTGACAGTTTCTGTCTTTAAATCATCATAATATTTTTGAAACGTCATTAGAAAATTGTCTTTAATTTTTAATTTTTTTTTTGTATAAATAAATAAAATAAAAATTCTTAAAAGATTAAAATAAGGAAAGAAAAATTCAACTTAAGGCCCTCATAGACTTTGTTCTTTTTCATCCGTTTGTATCGTATACGATATAAGGCAAAATGATGTATTTACGGCGTCAAAAATATTTATGATAGGCAAATGTCTAAACAGTGTTTTCTTTAGCTACTTTCCTGTCTTATTACAATTATTGCTTAAGGATAACACGTTAAAAAAATAATATTAATAATAATAATAATAAAATAAAAGTTGATTCTGAAGCTTTAAATATTCTAAAAGCCCCCCTCTAGTTTAAACACAACTTTTATTGTTTTTATATAAAACAATAAAAACAAACAAACAATAAAAGTAGCTAAGGAAAACACTGGAAAACACCCCAAACCAACTTAAATAGATATTGTAACGTTTTTAACTGTTCGTAGTGTGAATTAAAACACGCACTGGTTAATTAACGAACTAAACTATTTATTTAATAACTTAACTACACTTAAAACACTGTAAAACTAACTAAACACTTAACTACTAATTATTTATATCACTACTAGTTTATTTATTTGCACGTATATTTATTTATTTCGACGCGAGTACCAAAACTGGACTGACTGCTCTGTGATGCGTCGTTCCTTATATATTACAGCGCCTACGTCCTCTAGAACATTCCAGCGAGCTCCACACTCTCGATTATTCGAGCGCTGAGTCACCGGCGATGACTCACCGGCAATGACTAATCGGCGATGAGTCATCACTCCGATATCCAGGGCGGTACTCGCTACAATATATATATTTAAGTCGGTTTGATATTCAAAGTAAGCCATTTTTTTATATAAAGTAAAGTACACAATATTTTGAATAATTCTAATTCGAAATTACCGTGCATAAAACAAAATAAAAATAAGTTGCTATATATATACAGTGTGACCCATTTGTTTGCGACTTACCCCTGTAAAATCTTTATTTATTGTGCGATATTAACTGGATTTATTTTAAAGTGTATATCTTGATAAACTTTATTTTTGGAGCAAAAGATGCCATATTAGTACAAAATGCAAGGCCTACTATGTCAGTTTTTAAGAGTAGATTTTTAAGAATTTATATTAGTGATTTTTTAAACAAAATCTAAGCAAGGCAGCATGTTACTATTAGTTTAATTTTATTTCAATGTTTTTTCATGGATAACTTGACAAAATAAATTTTTGTAGTTATTATTGTGCATTTTTCTACATAAAATTTTTCAATAAAATTTAGTATAGTGTAACGTTTTTACTGTTCGCAGTGTGAATTAAAACACGCACTGGTTTATTAACGAACTAAACGATTTATTCTATAACTTAATTACACTTAAAACACTAAGAAACTATAAAACTAACTAAACACTTAACTACTAATTATTTATATTTCACTACTGTACAAGAGTCTATTTATTTGAACGTATATTTATTTTATTTCGTCGCGAGTACCAAAACTTAACTGACTGCTCTGTTCCTTATATATTCAGCGCCCAAGTCTTCTGGAACATTTCAGCGAGCTCCACACTCTCGATTGTTCGAGCGCTGACTCACCAGCGATGCCTCATCGCCGATGAGTCATTATTCCGATATCCAGAGCCGTACTCGCTACAATAGTGTCTTTTGAGGGGTGGTGAATCCAGTGCCATGCTTAAATTTACATGTACAAAACGGCTAATACACACCGTTCTTACGATGAGGGCGCTACTGTTTTATACAGATGTTTACCAAATTAAGTATACCAGGTGATATACCTCCGAACATTTTCTATTTAACCGAAATTTGGCAACAGGGTACGGATGCCATTTAATGCCACGAGTATGTATTTCTGTAAATGTCTTATTTAAAAAAAATATATTTTTAATACGTTAATGAAATAATGATATACATTTTATGATTGGACTCCTGAAAAAATAAAGGTATTATTATTACGAATTATTTATGGGTTTAAACATTAAATACAAAGTGTAAGTCTGTAAACTGCTCAAAATGTATTCATATAATCGTTTATAACACTTTATTAGCAAATACCTACTCAAAAAAACGTTCTTTTTTTAGGACTAAATATAGTTCTTATCTTGTGATACACTTTTTAGCTCCACAACTTGAAAATAAAGACGAAAACACTTAAATGTGGAAGTATGTGGAAAAAAAATAATTTCCTCGTAAAACCAATATTCAATGCCATTGCAAGCGAAACTTTTTTTTAACCTTTTATCAAGTTTAATAATAAACTAAACAATGCAAATTTTACTCTGTTTAGATAATTGGATAATTCACATAGAGAAATTAGATTTACACCGTTAATATATACGTTCATTTAAAGTACTTACAACATGGTAACACCTCCATTTTAAAAGTTTTAGATTTACTTCGCGGCGACTGCAAATTTACACAATGTATTAGCACTAAATTTGGTAAAATACAGGTTACGCGCACGACTACCTGACAACACTCGAACAATATGACATTTTTTCAACCCTGTATTTATCCTTTTTACAATTTTTTTGTTGTTTCTAAGGTTTTAAATATTTGGGAACATTTTGCTATGTAAAGAATCGAATATTATTGTATTCTGTTTTTTTTTACTTCTGTCGCCGTAAATACCTCATTTTGTCTTACGTGCGTCTTGTCAAAAACTGATATGTGGGGCCCACATGTGGGCTGGAAAACCGTCGTACAGTGGTCAAAAAATGCCGTTTTGCGGCAAAAATTCAATAACTTTATATTACAAATAAATATTATTTTTTTCTTTTCTAATGTCTTAAATAGGATAAAATACGTATAATTAAGCATGTTTTTACATCGCATTTTTATATCGTAAAAACACACCGTTCGCGGAAATAATTTTATTTTATTTACATGACACATTGTGCCAGGTATGATTTATTTAATAACACAAATCCAAAAAATAGAAACTTTTAATTTTTTAACGTGGGTTTTATAACTTTGAGGGGGAAATAATTTTATTTTTTATTACCATAATATTTTAAATATAGATATATTACAACAATATGTTATATTGTAAAAACATTACTTTTAGTTGTTTTAATCATTAAAAAATACAAAAAAAAACTACATAAATTATATTAATAATTCCTTAACTTCATCTCGAAGTTCGTATTTTATACCTACATGATATTTTTTTCCTCTCAAAATGTAATAGTCCAACTTAAATTTGCTTTCAATAGATATGTAAAATATTATTACCTTACAAATCCTATACATACATATGGCATTTTTAAGGTAATATTATTTATACCTATGAAAGCGAATAATTTTTTACCTAATAATTTGTTTTGAGTTGGTAATTAATTAATAAACCTAGGTAGGTACTTGTATATGTATATATTTTTTGATAATATTATAAACAAAATACAAAATGTAATACTTGTTTAAATATTTATAATAATAAATAAATTCAACTAAAACCTATGAGCATAGATCTAAAGGTTTGAAAATCTTGAGTGCGTAGACAGTGCCTTAGTTAGTTACGAGCTACCGCGATTTAACCATGCAGCGCGATAAATAAAAAATCATCAAATCAACTTTTTCATAGGCACGTATATGCAGCTAATTTTTTGTGTGCCTGTAAAGTAAAGTTTACTGAACAACCTTACGTAGAGATCACCTGGTGAATCGAAGTTAATCCTAGTTAAATTCCTATATGAATTTTTTTCTTAATTTTATGAATGATTTTTTAAAAGGTTATAACTTTTAATTTTTAAATAATTTTCTAATAAAATGGGAATATTTATATAGAATATATAAAATCTATATATGTTACCTGCAATGTAAAAAATCCGGCAATGTGCGAAATGTCTAGATATTCTGCAAACTGACCAATTTACCAGACATTGTGCAAAATCACTATCATTTTGGGCAATCTGCAAATTTACTACGCTATTTTAGGCAATCTGCAAAATGTCTTATGCGATAGTCAATCTGGGGATTAAAGGTTTTTAATTCTTACATTGACTAGGCAGTGTGCGCAATACTTTTACTTATTTTGAACTTCGCTATTCAGTCATCCCTGCAAAAATAAATCAAAGTGACTAGAAGTACATCGGTAGTACGGGCATTAAACATACACCGGGTGGAAAAAATCCTTATTTAGCAAATTTTTATATTTGTCAATTGTATAATATTGAATGGTCGCTCAATGGGGCGGGGGAGGCCAATGGGGCGGGGTCGGTTGGGTTGGGTTGTTGAGTTTGGGTTGGTTTGAGTAATTCATACTGACATTTCATTAATTTTGTTGTTAATTGTATTTCAATCACTTAATTAAATTTTAATCAATGTTTATACAACTTGAAAGTTAGCTAAATAATTACATCACGGCGTAAATACCTTTCTAAAAATGTTTTATTTTACCATATTTTGTTGTACCATTATATAAATAAGTGCTTGTAAATTTAATTTTTATTTGTAGTATTTCTTTTTTTAAAACAAAATTCAGTTTTTCAATTTTACATTTCTATCGTAAATTAGTGTTGCGCATACTGCCTAGTCAATGTGAGAAGTAAAAACCTTTAATCCCCAGATTGACTATCGCATCAGACATTTTGCAAATTTCCTAAAATAGCGTAGTAAATTTGCAGATTGCCCAACATCCTCTTGGGTTCCTTGAGTTTAAAAATACGACAATCATGGTTGAAAGCTGTAAAAGGAGCCGAATGATGCCGTACTGCTAACGGGACATTTATGTGACGTATTACTTACCTAAGGCCTTAATAAAAAGTAGATGTTACCCATATCATTAATGTATTTTATTGATTACAATTACTAAGAGTGAATTAAAATTCTTTTTGCCACATTCTTTAGAAGATATTCAGCAAAATAAAAGATATATTTAATTACTTTTTATTTTCCTTAGATGCTGTCTTATTACAATTATTGCTTAAGGATAACACGTTAAAAAAAATAATATTAGTAATAATAATAATAATAAAATAAAAGTTGATTCTGAAGCTTTAAATATTCTAAAAGCCCCCCTCTAGTTTAAACACAACTGCGTCTGATTCGGATGTTGAATAGTTATATATTTTTTTTTTCTTGGTCATTTTTTGTTTTATATGTGTATTTTTTTATTTATAATAAAATACTTTCCAAGATATAACTTTATCGTTTTTATATTGTCAATAAAACGTGGGGGAATTTATATCTCAAAAAATATTTGCAATTTTTTTATACTTTAAATAACCTCCCTACAACCCAGGGTGTGCCATTTTCGGGACATCCTAATAATAATATAATAACATATTTAAATATTTTTTTAATATAAATAGGTATATTTCTTTTAAACAAGTTTTTAGTTAGAAACTTACCAGAACTTTGAAGACTAGCGGGAAAAGTAAAAAAATATTAAAAATTATTTTTTTTTCTAAATAAACAATTTTTAAAAGATAATTAGAATATTTATTGTTATATACCTTATTAGAATCCATAGAATTAGAAGTCAAAGTGCCAGCCTGCTCCCGCAGAACATAACCCTGAAGTAATTTGGACTTTTTTTGTAATTCAGTAACTAAAGTATTTACATGTTCTTCCAAGAAGTCCAATTTTTCTGACTTCTTCGCACTTATTCTTTGCAGTTTAACTATGTGCTCTATAAGGGCTTGCCTGTCAACGTTTGATGAATCAGATGGTTGGATGACCTAAAATAAAAAATAAATAAAAACATCTTAAAAACCATTGTATTTTTGTTTACTTTTACTTGTTCTGGATGTAATATTTCAGTGGGTCTATCAGATGTAACATTCAGTGATGTATTGGATCCATTACTGCTTGTGGTGGTTTCTGCATTTTCAAAGTGTTCTATTTTTTTTCGGCAATGCTGTAATTCCTTATTAATCTCCTAAAAAATTAAAAAAATATATAATTATTGCTAAATAATACTTTCATTTTTACCCTAAAGGAAAGCTCAAATTTTCTTTTTATAACATTGTTTTCGCCTTTTTGGTCGACTGCTTCCTGTCTATAATTTTCCAAATTTATTAGGCTTTCGGATAACTTTCTTGATAAATCTTCATTTTCTTTTGTAAATTTCACACGTTCTTCTGATAATTTCGCCGATAACATACCCGCTTTAGTTTCCTGCTCTTTTATCTGTCTTTTTAAAAGGGTCTGCTCACAGGTTAGTTGTTGTACCTACAATTGCAAATAATAAAAATGATAAGTATAAAAAGACAAAATATTAGGCAAAGTTTACATTTATGATTTAAGTATTTACACAATGAATGCATACATACAATTGTATTATCCAATAATAGGTGTGCGTAATAATGCACTTCTCTGCTGTTTTGTTTTTATTTTATGTTCCCCACCGGTTTTAGCTTAGGCCATCCTCAGGGGACTACGTCTATTTACTTTGAATACACAATATATATTATAGTATAATATATAATATATAATTAATTAAGAACTGGTTATTGAAAATTAACTTGTAATAATTAATTTGTGAGATTTATTATTAAATGTCATGACTTCTCCAATCATACTACGAGCCCTAACCTCATAATGTTCGGACACTTCATAATTTATACAGAAATTTTTTTCGTGAATACTATCTCAAAATTATTAGAAGTTATGAAAAATTCAGCTTATTTTGGCATATACCCCTCGAAGCGATTTTTATTTTTAAAAAGTTTACCTTTTATTTTTAGCTTTTAAAAAAAGGCTAACTTTTTAACTTTTTTTTGCATGAGTAAAAAAAGTTATAAATGGGCCCATTAAAAAGAACATAAAATATTATACAAACCCTGAAAATTTGGTAAAAATTGTATAAATAATAAGAAAGTTATAGCGATATATATATCTGCAAAATCTCCCGTTTCCTAAGAAAATTGCAAAAACTCTTTAAAAATAGCATTTTTAAATTACTTATACTTTTTTATAACTTATTTATTTTTTACCAAATTTTCAGGGTTTGTATAATATTTTATGCTCTTTTTAATGGGCCCATTTATAACTTTTTTTACTCATGCAAAAAAAAGTTAAAAAGTTAGCCTTTTTTTAAAAGCTAAAAATAAAAGGTAAACTTTTTAAAAATAAAAATCGCTTCGAGGGGTATATGCCAAAATAAGCTGAATTTTTCATAACTTCAAATAATTTTGAGATAGTATTCACGAAAAAAATTTCTGTATAAATTATGAAGTGTCCGAACATTATGTGGTTAGGGCTCGTATAATGTAAATAGACATAGTCCCCTGAGGAAGGCCTAAGCCAAAACCGGAAACTAACACACACACCTATATAATATTTTTACAGCTACAATGGAAAATAAAATTCAAAATACAATGCATTGTGTTGTGAACACAATTCAACAAAAAAAAAATTAAATTAAATTTATTTTCCTCATTTCGCAAAATCAAAAGAACAACATAAATCATTATAAAGTTTATGAAGCTTTAAATGATATTTTTTCTACTCCTATTACGGAATTTGACCGTTCTATTATCAATTTTATCTATGGAATGACATATATTCAGTAAAGTGTTACAGAATGAAATATTCTATCATCCTATGACAGAATAAACACTCGTGGCGACATCTCTGTTTTTAATATCTAACAAATTTTAGACCGATCCAACCTCACTTTTTTCCAATCAAATGACTTTTCTATGGTATTTTTTGGAAACGTAGAAAAAGTATAGTCTGAAAAACGTTTGGAATTGCATATTCCGCTCTCGTGAAACCGTCAAACTCGCCTTCGGCTCGTGTGACAAACTCTTCACTCGAGCGGAATATGCTGTATTCCAAACTTGTTACAGAATATACTATTATTGATGCCGGGAAGTATTGCCAGGAAACATCTGTAATAATATTATTTTTCTGTAATTATAGTAGGGGAGCCCCAGCGGGGATTTCGGATGTGACCTGAGCGTAGCAGCCTAATATTCGGGGAGAATCTTTGTACCCTGTTAAGTACTTTTACCAATGATGGTCCCTTAATATAGTGGGGTACGCCTAGGGTAGTCGATCACATTAGTAAAAAAAAATCGATCCCCTTAAAAACTCGAGCGCATCAGATTTAAACAAAATAAGTTAATTACATGCAGAAAAGAAAATATCTTCAATAATCTGACGATTTAAGCGTGACATAAAAAATTGAGCGAGTCACTAGATTGCAAAAAAAATCGTTACCTTGAAATACTCGAGCGCGAATTTGGTTTTTTTCATTTTAAAGAAAATACTTAAAAAATTATAGAAATAATATATTCTGCCGATTTTCATAAGCCTAAGCACCTAAAATTAATAATAGAATGTTGTATGTGCAGGGTGATCCCCTATAATGTCGCCCCCCTTTAACTTATTTATTTTAAGTGTCCCAAAAAATTTAAAAGTATGGTTGTACTAAAAAATACTTTTTTTCTATGTAAATAAAAAAATGGAAAATTGATCAATATAGGTACAGGGAAAAACAAAAAGTTTATTTTTTTTTCTAGGGATCACCCTATATATGAATTTAGTTTTCGATTCCTTGTAAAATTCTGAGCATAATTCATATAACAAACCATATACCTAAACTCAACCGTTTCTGAAATATTCGCATTAAATGTTTTTTTAAACTGTTAGAAATCAAGATCAAAATTTTTATTGAAAATAAATTACTATAGTGATATTATGTTAATATGTCTTGTTAAATAAGTAAAGAGCTCAAAAATATAACTTTTGTGCTAGTTTCAGTTCTTCGACCTCAAACGGATGTCTCATTTGTACTTTTGAGCTCGAACAGCTCAAAAGTTAAAGAAACACGTTTTTAGATTTCTTTCGTTCACGATATCTCACGATCGAATCAACCGATTTTGACCGGACCAGCGGCGATCGACGTGGTTTTTCAAGGGTAAGAGCTGAATAGGAATCGATCGGTAAAGCCGTTCGAAAGTTTCTCAGAAAAAAGAGTTTTTCAAATTTTTATTTTTGAGATTTCCTAAAATCTTCCGGCTCGAATCGGTTCAAATTTTCAAGAAATCTAAGTTTGATAGAACTCTTTAGAAACCCGCTTAGTTCATTCCAATCGGTCAAGCCGTTCAAAAGTTATAATAGGTTTATATACATACATACACACACACATACATACAGAAATGAGGACACCACCGCGGGAATAGTCAGGAAAGCTTTCCCGGACCTGAAAACGTCAAGATCTGATGAAATCTCGATTTTCGAAAAACGGGGTAAAACCAATAACTTCCCGATTTTTAAAAATTTCCAATTTTTTTTCGGAAAGTTATTTTTTTTACTTTTAACTGTCAGATTAAAAAAATTCCTTTACAAAATTATCAGATTAAGAGTTATCACCACTAGAATATCGAGCTGAACCATCTGTATAAAATTCTGACGCGCACGAGTATTTTAATGTCACGATTTTTTTTGCATTTTTGAGTATCGACTATAAACGTTTGGTCTCGCCCAAACCGTCAGTCTTTATAATAGGATACTTTTTATCGTTTATTTAACCCCTCTTATGAAATTCTGACAAGTCCGAGTAAAATCATTTTTTCCCCAATTTCTACCTCTTAATACAGCTCCCACTATCAATCCGTCAGACTAATATCTCTCTGTAAACAGGAGTTCGAAGACTGTACACTAGGGTGTCCCTTATTTTTATTTTTTTTACGCATACCCTCTAATTATATTTATTACGTGTTTATATACTCCCAGTAAAAATTTCAGCTCATTCTATAAACGGGAACCCGTGCCGACTTGCATCTGAACCCTCCGTTAGGCGCGCGGTATTTTGTAACACGAAACACTTTAAAAAGAAGATATACTTCATGACTGTATTTTTCTAATGATTTTATTAAATATGATTACTAATTAATATTATTGCTTTTGTTTCTATCATTTGTTTCACTAATTTAGTTGATTTTATCCCTTAAATATATTAATATAATTAGTATTGCTAAAATATACTGTTATATGAAATTTCAGCTTTTTATAAGCATTTCTTTTCTTGATGCCCTCCCAAAAATATTTCAGATAGTTCAATAAGTTTTCGGTATTCATCTCTCACAATAGACTCTTTTTAGTTATTTAGAGTAAAACCCATTAAGTTTATCAATTTCAGAGTTTACGGCCTATTCACCAGACCCTTCCGGGTAACTATCCATTATAAAACAATATTTTAACATTTGTCAATAATTTATAATATAAGGGTCACATAATAACAAACACAAAATGACTTACGATCGAAGACCTCGCGACCAACCGTGTTACAAAATACCGCGCGCATATATGCGTTATACGTTATACGTTATACGTTATAACGTTGGCTAACGGAGGGTTCAGATGCAAGTCGGCACGGGTTCCCGTTTATAGAATGAGCTGAAATTTTTACTGGGAGTATATAAACACGTAATGAATATAATTAGAGGGTATGCGTAAAAAAAATAAAAATAAGGGACACCCTACTGTACACGGTATCAAACACTGACGCGCTTGAGTAATTTTTTGGAAAGATTTTTTTTTCATTTTTGAAAATTCGTACACGGTCTCCCCACCAGTAAAAAGATATATATCATATAAACTTTTTTTCTGTTTAGCCGTTAATCTTCGCGATCTGATAGGTCTTCAAAGGGCTCAGGTAAAAACGCATTTAGCCCTCTGAGCTCCCCTACTATAGCTATTTACCAGCCTTTTAACAAAACTGTTACCCTTGTGGAAATTTTTCTCTGAAAAAGTTTTAATAAATAAAAATAAGATTTTTTAAAGTATTACTTTCTCTTAAAAAGTCTGAATATTACTTATTAAGTCGGAAAAAGTCATAATAAGACTTATTAAGACGGAAAAAGTCTGAAGAAGTCTTAGTAAGTCAGAATAATAGCAAGATTTGGGAACCTTCTAGAAGAGTTAATAAGACTTTATAAGACTTTTAGCAGAGAAAGGGTAGGAAACTAACTAAAGCGATTAAAATAAATATCCGGAATTATTCAGAGAGGTTGTATTTGATTATTATAAAATAAAACACAAAGAAAATTAATTATTAACATTTTGCCGGGGTGGTAATAAGCCAAGTTTATTGCATAATTACATATAATATATGTAATTATGCAATAAACTTGGCTTATTACCACCCCGGAACAATGGTTAGTGAATATTTTGAATATTTGCGTTTAAAAAGAAACTATTAAAATAAAACAGTACAGTGGCAACAATAAAATCAAGTCCAGCGCATCATAAGTAAAAAATTATAATTGTTATAATTATTTCACCTCAAATGTTATTATAATATAATATAATAACATTTGAGGTGAAATAATTATAACAATTATAATGTTTTACTTATGATGTACCATTGTTCCAAACACTTTTTAGACACAATATCGATTTTCTCAGCTGACCAATTAGAGCACAGCTGATGTGTCATGTGATGGCATCTTTCCGCGTTTTCAAGATAGCTCTCCTGTCACTACTTACCAAGTGTTGCCATTAGCGGGTATTTTACTCGGAAATCGGGTATTTTCGTCATGTTTGCGGGTAAAATTTTGAAGCGGGTAAATTCGGATATTTTGCAAAATTCGATCAAAATACTAACTGAAGATATTTTCAGTAAATAATATTGTATGTTTACTAAAAATGCATAATTATTTTATTATATTTAGAATATCCTGTTACATTTTTATTTACTTATATAAAAGTTTTAAATTAATTTAATTATTTTTTTAAAACAGGGCGAATGCGCTACTAAATTTAAAATATAACTAGTTTTTTTAGTCCCTATTTTGTAATTTTTGGTCGGGAACTTTTATGACATTCATCCGGCAACACTGTATAAAACACATGAACCAGCTCATGGAGCCTACACAAGGAGTCCGAACTTTATGTAAAGAAGAATCTTCCTAAGACAAGATGGCGCTGGTGTTCCGTTTGTACCGGAACGCTACCAAAAGAGCAGACGTCAGCTGACGTACTAGTACGCATCGACAATGAGCGCCGCTAATGGTGAAAAAAAAAGACTTAATTTGTGCAATTTAGAGAGCAGGTTTTGTCAATTTTCCCTATTGAGTTCTGGCTCCTTGTGTAGGCTCCATGAACCAGCTGATGAAAGCGGCTCGAAGATCAACCATATTTGTTTTATGAGTTTTATAATCTGTGTACTGTCGACCATATCATGCCTATGCGTTTCGAAAAATTGTTATAGTTATTATACCTTATATATGTACTTAATCAACAAGGGATCTGTATGTACACAAACCAAACGTATCTCCCAACTATTTTATTCGGTTCAATTAAAATAAAGTTTGTTTACCTATATTGTAAACATTGCTTCCGGGTTTTTATAAGCCTTATAAGAAAACAAAAACAGTTTCTATAAATGCTTTTCATTGTGCTTTCTTTTGCAATAACCAAATACAACGTCTCTAAATAATTCCGGATATTTATTTTAATCCCTATAGGTACCTACCATTTCTCTGCTAAAAGTCTTATTAAGTCTTATTAACTCTTCCAGAAGACTCCCAAATCTTGCTATTAGTCTGATTTACTAAGACTTATTCAGACTTTTTTAAATCAAATCAAATCAAATCAATTTATTCAACCAATTTAACAACCAGCTTTTATACAATAAATTAATTAAAACAGAAATGTATTTCACTTTGCAGGCTGTCCATGATGCTAAAACCTAACCATAAAATGATTGTATTGCTCAGCATCCTGTTCAGCCTCTAAACATATTGTTTATCTTATCTACCTTAAATAACAAATACAAAAAATGAAAAAAAAATACTTTAGTATATATAGAAGTTAAAAGTTAATGAGCAGAAAACGGCAAACACTAGAATTTTTTATTTTTATTTTTATTTTTAAAATAAGTCTTATTCTGACTTTTTCCGACTTAATAAGTATTATTCAGACTTTTTAATACAAAGTAACTCTTATTAAAACTTTCTCAGAGAAAAATACTTACTTTTGTTTCCATGGTGGTAAATTCTGATTGCAATCGCACATTCTTGTCAGTCAATTGCTGGGTAAAAAGCAATAATTCAGCTTCGCGAACCCTACACGCTTCCATGTCAGATTCCAACTCAGAATTTCTTTGTTTTATTAAAGATATCTGCTCATTACACACTACCAACTGATCTTGATCACTAAAATATACAATTATTTTTTATAGAAAAGTTATATTTAGTGTAATCACTTATTTATTTAATTAAATTGAAAATTTGTTTAGCAATCTTACTGTTTCAGCTGCAGTTTAAACTGTTCCAATTGAGAAGACTTGACCTGCAAATCAGCTACATCTTGCCTCTGTTGATCAGCACAACCTCTAAGATCACTCAGCTTCTGTTCAGTTTCTAATCGGTCTCTTTCCAATTGCTGGACTTTAACAGATAGATGATTGTTTTCCTGCAGCATATCCCTCTGTTTGGTCTGCAATCTTTCAAGCTCTTTCTGCAGGGTGCTAATTTGTTTGTCTTTGTCAGTTTTTTCATGTTTTAGGAGGATTAAAGCAGCGTGTTGTTCTTTTACTTGTTGGTCTACAATTAACAATAGTATATTGTGCGACTAGTGGAAGAAAAAGGAGATTGCGGTAACACGCAAGTGAAATCACACAATATTTTATTTAACCCCAATTTAATTTAATATTTTATCTGTGATACAGGGTGTTTCAAAAAACATGCGCCAATGCTCGGTATTAAATGTTTTAACAGCCGGTATCTTGAAAACTAAGCATTGCCGGACCTACGTTTATATGAACTTTTTTTCTTATTCAAAACCCCCTGTATATATTTTGAAATTAAAATAATTTAAAAGAGGGTCGAAGTTATTAAATTTTGATTTTTGATGTTTGTAATCTAGAAGCCCACAACTGAACAACCAAGCCTCATACAAAAAAATATATTTGGGTTTACATTCACACCCAAAGATAATAGAAGTACAATTAGGCCGAATGTGAACGAATTTCAGAATCTCAAATTTTTGACAGTTCTGTTACAGTTTTAACTTGAATTTTTCAATACTAACTTAAAGCCAACTTCAGCCCGTGGGCGAAAAGCTATTTAAGTTAGGAAACTATCAGGGAATTCATTGTTTTGCCCACTCGGCAGGGCCACGAAATTACAAATTCCTTGCAGGTGTTGAATAAATTAAAATAATTTAGCAAAATTAGGAGAATTAAAAAAATTATAATAATTTATACTATATTAATAATATCGGTTTAATATTGGATAAATGTTTTTATTATTTTTATATTGTTTTTAACATGAAATTCTGAGGAATACTCATATATAAAATTTAAAATGTATGAGTATATGAATATGAGTATAAGAGACGTATAACGGGCCTCATCACTCCCGGGCCCCGCCTTACGCCGATTTTCTTTCGCCACCAGCAACGGCACGGCTTCACCCGTGTTTGCTGGGTGTGAATGTCCATTGCGTCCCTTACTGTCCCCTAATTAGACATTTTGGTGTTTGGAGGACAATTACACCGACTCAAATCCAAGTACGACGATGTACCCCCCTAGACCAGGCAGTTAGTATTACTCCAAACATTTGGGATAACTGTATGGAGTTCGGGAGTTATTTTTCTGCAGGGGCCTACGTCCAAGTAGGATTGGAAAGACGAGGTATGACATGGGCTTGAGGTTGTAAGATTTGTTATGTTGTTGTCACTCGTGTTCCTTTACGCGGATGACAGCATCGTGGCAATTCTTACTTTAGGGGTCTCCCCCTCTCTCTTTTTCTTCTTTCTTCTGTTCCTGCACATGTGTCGCTGGGTCGGGCCGTGTCTGCTGAAAATAACCTTGCTGAAAATTCGGGAACCGCTGTACGTCGATTGTCTACCCCACTGTGCGAAATCCATTCTTCAGTCTTGAGGTCGAAAACTATCGATAGATATTTCAGTAGTCGGCCATGTAACTACCGATAGTCATCGAGAGCTTTTGATGTTTTTTTTTTAATGTTTATTACCGCAGTAGTGCGAAATTATTAGTTATTGTGTTGCCCACCCAGGTAGCAAAACTTGACGAAACCGTGACGATTTGTGAGCAATCGTCACGGTTTCGTCACGTTATGCTACCTGGGCAAGCACGTTTTGTGATAGAATTGTATTTTGTCTTTTTTCTTAATTTCCAACAATAAGTATTGCATTTATTTATTAGTTAAACAAATGGTAGGTAAGTGCAATTATTCTGTTATACTATTTTAGGCTCGCAGAAGACTAATACTTTTATCATTTATTTGTTTAGGTTTATGTTAGACAATCAGTAATTGGTTTCGTGCACACGTGTTACCTACTTAAGATTTGTGGGTTTATTGAATTTCAAGTCAAGTCTTTCGGTCTGGTATGCTTGTTTATTAATTTTTAAGTCAAACAACTTGCTTTGCTGTATAGGCATATATAAAATACCTATAGGTATTTTTTGGTATATTACGATGTTGGTTTGTTGCTCCCTGTTGATTTGTGGGTTTATTGAATTTCAAGTCACGTCCGGTCGGGTATGCTTGTTTATTAATTTTTAAGTCAAACTTGCTTTGCTGTATAGGCATATATAAAATACTTATATGTATTTTTTGGTATATTACGATGTTGGTTTGTTGTTCCCTGTTCACCTATTTTGTTTTTTTTATATTTATCTTTGTTGTTCCTACGGATTTTTCTACTTGAGAAGGCAGAAACCCGTAGGTTTCGTGAATTACGGAATTACAAGTTTTTAGTATTGCGAATAGCGACGTGCAAATATTAATAAAATACTTACCTATCCGAAATTTTTGCGGATGCCCCTTGTTTCCTCTGATTGATATCAATTTCCCGCCACATTGAACAAGTGGATGGCACTATACACTTTGCACTTTAGTCGATGCGGTGATTATGCACCTGATATACACTGTTTAACGAAATCTTATAGATTATAGAATAATTACCTTTTAGGTATTCTGGATTAAAAATGCACTGGTTATTTGTATCGTTTTGGAGCGATAGAAATATACGTCTGACTGGTACAAGCGGTACTGTTGCTCTGGTATATAAAATTTAAAATGTATAATGATGAACTAATTTAACCGCCCAAATGATTGCGTTTAAAATAAGATTAGAAGAAGGTATGTAGAAAGATTTTAAAAAATTTTTTATATTATTTATTTTCGATGTTTTGCAAGAATATGTTGAATATTTTTTATACATACCTAAAACATTAGCTCTATTTTCCTGTGAATTATGAAAAGCCTTTACAGTATTTTCTGCGTCTCTTTTTGAGGAATCAATTGTATCAGATACTTCTTGTAGTTTGGCCGTTAAAGATTCTACTTTTGCCTGGCTTTCCTAAAAATATAACATTTAAAAAAATACAAATTGGCAGCAAAAAAATCGACTCACTATAATAGTGAGTATAATATACTTGAGTTTTAATAGCAGGTGTATCCACGTAAACATATATGTATGCAATAATAAAAGCTGTGGTTTTTAATGACACCTCTTCGTTTGAAATTAGATTCTCTTTTGCCAAGCTATGCGCAAACACGGTGCTCGGGAAGCAACTTTAAAAATTAGTAGGTAAATTTCATCAAATTTTTTGGTTTTTAATTACACTGTGCGACAAATTTTGACCTTACAATTTGAACTGGGATGAAATGTGGAAAAATCGAATCTATGCAACCCCCCAAACTAATCTTTAAAGGGGTTTTGCTAGTTTAGCTCGAATAATGGAGATATACAGGGTGTTTCTTTTAACTTGAGACAGCTCAATATCTCGAGAAATTCGCATTTCACGGAAAAATGTCTTAAATAAAAGGTTAATGTGACCAAAGGGGACATTATTCGGTGCTACCTCTAGCCACCCCGTACCCCTCCTTAAGGGTGAAACTGGGGGTAACTTTGGAAAGTCAAATAGAATGACCCGATTTTTTTACAGAGTTTGGTAGTACATAAAAAAATGAATAACTTTTATTTGAAAGTTTTTTCAATTTATCAACAGATGGCGCTGTAATTCAAAATTTAAGAAAAAGGGGTTTCCTTGTAAAATGTATTATTTGAAACGTTTGAAAAACAAAAATTAACATTAAATCAACAATAGTCGGCTCTGAAAACAATTTATAACAAATGTTCGAAATGTCGTCCTTCCATTTCGACACCAAGTGGAGCACCAGCGTCCCTGGTCGGTAAACGTTTGGTGCGGTACCTTAAGCGAACGATTAATCGGACCCTTCTTTATTGACGGTGCATTAAATGGCGAAAAGTACCGGAATTTTCTAGAAAACGATCTGACGGACCTTTTGGAGGATGTACCACTAGCACGGCTCCAAAACATGTGTTACCAGCAAGATGGTTGTCCTGCACATTATTCGACAATTGCTCGAGAGGTGTTGGATCGGGAGTTCAATGGCCGGTGCACCGCGGTGGATCGGTAGACGTGGTCCAGTAATTTGGCCTGCTCGATCACCTGATCTTAAGCCACCAGACTTCTTCCAGTGGGGTTACTTGAAAGAAAAAGTTTACGCTGCAATTCCTACAACTTGGGAGGACATGTTGGAGCGGATCAGGAACGCCTGTGCGGCGATACCGCCCGACATGTTGGCGCGTTGTTTGCCAGAATTCATTACCCGCATTCAAAAATGTGTTGAAATGGAATGACGACATTTCGAACATTTGTTATAAATTGTTTTCATAGCCGACTATTGTTGTTAATGTTAATTTTTTTTTTCAAACGTTTCAAATAATACATTTTACAAGGAAACTCATTTTTCTTAAATTTTGAATTACAGCGCCATCTGTTGATAAATTGAAAAAAGTTTTAAATAAAAGTTATTTATTTTTTTATGTACTACCAAACTCTGTGAAAAAAATCGGGTCATTCCATTTGACTTTCCAAAGTTACCCCCCGTTTCACCCTTAAGGAGGGGTAGGGGGTGGCTAGCGGTAGCACCAAATAATGTCCCCTTTAGTCACATTAACCTTTTATTTAAGACATTTTTCTGTGAAATGCGTATTTCTCGAGATTGAGCTGTCTCAAGTTAAAAGAAACACCCTGTATATCTCCATTATTCGAGCTAAACTGGTAAAACCACTTAAAGGATTTGTTTTGGGGGTTGCCTAGATTCGATTTTTTCAGATTTGATCCCAGTTCATTTTTTGTGTTGCACAGTGTTATTCATTGCAACAATAGAAGTCATTTTTTAGTGTTTTTAGTAGAGATGGGAATCGGAAAGTTTCAATTTTAAGGAAACTTTCCGTTTTGGAAAGTTTCCAATTGGGAATTTATTTTCATTTTGAAAGTTTCTTTTAAGCTACCGGAAACATTCCTTGGAAACATTCCTTGGAAACTTTCCTTGTTTTTTCCATTTAAATGTCAATTGTTAAACCGCTGATTTTCGTTAAGGCCATGATACAAGGCCAAGAAACTTTGAATAAGAATTTAATTTATGTTAATTTAAAGCAGAAGAAGTATAAATAATGTAAGTTATGTTACATTACCTCAATGAAGCCGGATTATTCAGCATCAACACAAAAAAACTTAAAAAAAAAATAAACAAATTTAAAATCATTCTTACATTTTTGTTGTTTATTTATAGGCATAGCACAATGCCAAGAGAAAAATCTAGTGTTTGGAATTATTACAAAATAGTGCAAAAAAACAAAAAAGACCATGCTCTCAAGCAAGTTCTGTAAGAAAATCTATGTCGTTAATGCAACCAAAAATTTGACAAAAAGTTAATGTGTTAAGTATATATTTTTGCAAATTCCTGGCATAAAAAAAATATTTTCGCAATAAAAAAAATTTTTTTGAAACTTTCGGAAAATTTCGGGAATTTTCGATGGAAAGTTTCCGGAAATTTTCGTCACATGGGAATTTTCCCATCTCTAGTTTTTAGTATCGCTCAACATGGCCTTTGAAAAAATATTATGTACAATTTAAATATATTTTTTATTATTAAAGAAAATACCTACAATAGTTTTAACTAAAAATATTTATTAGTATATGTTTATAATATACCCAGATGCTAGATGCTTTGACAAATATTAATTACTATTTAAATCTATTTTTTTTTTATATTAGAAGAAAATACAATAATTTGTTTTAACCAAACATATTTATTAAAATATGGTGTTAATAATATAAATGCTAGATGCTTTAAAAAATGTTTAATTCTATTTATATGCATTTTTTTATTATAACAAGAAAATACATTAATTTTAACCAAAAATAAGTAGAACAATAATTAAAATTATAGAACGAAAAATTTACGAAAAAAGTTCATAAATTTCTATGAATTTTTATTTTTGTATTGATTTATTTTAAAACTTTTGATATTATAAATTCAAAATAAAATTTTTAATAGGGCGCGGAGGGGTTTAAACTCCATCTAAGGTTGTTTACAAAGAAAAATATAAAGTTGAATGGTTCCACTAATCTTGAAAGTTTGTAGATTGTTGGTATTTTTCATATTTTTGCCTTACTCGGTCAATATATAAAATTTCGTAAAATGTTAAATTTTTATTTGAATACCTACAGTAAAAAATACCAATAAATTAAAAATATAAAAAAAAATAAAATTGTCATTAAATCTCCAAAATATTTTTCAACCTTCTACTATTTATTAAATTTATTTTTTATTATGTAAAAAAAATATTAACAAAAAATATTGAATATCATTTTAAATGAATTTATTACTATTATTAATAAAGTACAAAAATTGTAACCAATTTTAAAATTGAATTACTGCAACAATGTAGGGTGCAACAACGTTGTAACCGCGAATATAAACATTTTAATTATTGAGTTTTTCTCTTTTGATTTTTATTGCGCGTTTTGTTTTTGAAAACTTTTTTAAATTTTATTAATAATTAATAAAATTTTCTTACTACCTCGACTCAAAATACGTTGTTTCGTCCCCGATTTCACGGCAGAAAGTTTACGTTTCTTGCATTGGTCAAGCTATACGCGCATACTCTAATAGCGGGAGTAAAAATTTTTTAGTCGTTAAGCACAATTCAAATTTCGTACTGCCAACATGAGAAACACAAAAATATGACAGTTTTAAACCATAATTTTGCAATTATAACAACAAATAAACAATTTATGTTTTTACTTTTTTACTTTTTATGTTGTTTTAAGTGTTTAATGGTAGGTACTTTTATTTGTTATAAAGTAGTAATTTGTTAATTAAAATACAACCTTTTATTTTTACTGTATTGGCACCGCTGAATTACCATGACAACGCTACAGTTTGATTGATTTTGAATGTAAACGTCAGAATTAAATTAAACGTCAGATTTTAATTTTGACGCAAGTTTTTTTATATACATTTAATTTTTTTCCGTATTTTCTGCGGGGTAACAAGAAAAATAGTATACACTACACGGGCAGAAAGTGTGAGAGCCCTGAACTGCGCGCCATGATGCCCTCGGCTTCGCCTCGGGCATCATGGCGCGCAGTGCAGGAATCTCACACTTTCTACCCTTATAGTCTAATATACTATTTTATTGCATCAAAATATGGCACACCGCATTTTAATAAATGCAAATGGCACAACACAAACTCAAACACAAACAAAACAAGTTGACGAAATACAAAACAATAAGTACTACAGATCTATATAATGAATTGAATATATTAAACATTAATGAGGAGATAATGTTGGACAGTGTTAAAGTAGTGTACAAAATCAAAAATAACCTGATAAATACAACAATTAACTTAACTAAAAACTGTGACAAACACACATATAATACTAGAACAAACGAAAACTACCACATAGATCCAAACACCACCAAATTTGGAGAAAGGAGAATAACGCAATCTGCCCTGAAGTGGTTCAACATACTCCCTGAGACAACCAAAAACCAAAGAACAATAGAAGCCTTCTCTACATCAGTTAAAAACTACTATATATCTTTAAGATAACACTGTGATAATTAAAAGTACCTGAATGTTTAATTATGTTAAATTATATTAGTCTTATACTGTATTTGTTATATATATATATTTTATTTATGTTTTCTATACATAGCACCTGTTATGGAATCTTGTATTCTTTTTGGGTTATTAATAAATTAAAAAAAAAAAAAGTTTAGCATAAACAGAACATGTTAACACAACGCAATAACAATAATTTAAACACTGAAAAGTAATTCGAACCATATCGAACGCAAAGAAACAGAAGTAGTGCTAACTTAATCATCCACCTTACAGATTTTAAAATAAGAACGCACAGTCGAAACCTCAGATTATGGTTTGACAAATACTTATATTATTTATCGTAATCCATCAAATCCGTAAGTGCAAAATACTTTCATGAAATGTAAAAAATATTCACTGTATGTGA